GGCAAAAAAAAACAATTGGGACTTCTGGTGCAGTGTTCTTAGGCTTCCATATCACTGCCACTGCTGATGTGGGTCTATCCTGCTATCTTTAAGGTCCTTGCACTCCATGTAACCCTGACTCTAAAAGCAAAGAAAGGACTTGCATCCACTGCCTTGGCACTTGGAAAGTTGTACCATGTTCCCCTTCTGCAAAATGTGACTTTTCTTTTTTGTGTGTTTTAGGTTATTGGGGTTAAGTGATTTGCCCAGGGTCACACAGCTAGTAAATGTCAAGTGTTTGGTCGGAGGCCGTATTTGAACTCAGGTCTTCCTGACTTCAGGGCCGGTGCTCTGGCCACTAGGCACCACCTAGCTGCCCCTAAAATGTGGCTTTTCTTAAGGCACCCTGTTACTTCTTGGGAAAGGATGTTCATCAGGTATAGACAACTTTTTCTAGAAGTTTGGAAGTAAGAATGATGAGAGAGATGGGAAATAGCTGAGTAGGCTACAGTTTTAATAGTGAAAGGGGGGAAACAAATGGGATTGGTAAGGGACAAGGGGAAGCTTTCTGAGTACTGGGGAAGCCTGACCGACAGATGATGACTCATTGGAATGTTTAAGCAGTCACTGATAGCTGAACTTTTGCCAAGACATTACCAAGAGCATAACTGTTCCATACTTGCCTCTGATTCACCTTATGGTGTGGGAGGTGTGCTTGGCCAGATTGACTTGAAGTCACTGACCACTTATCTCTTGAGGAAAGGGCTGTCTCTAACATCAAGCACAGAGACAATGGAAAAAGAAGTGAACTTGGAAGTTAGAGGATCTGTCTCCAAATCCTGGTTCTCCCATTTAACACTGGAGTGACTTTGGCCAAGTCATTTCACCTCTTTGGGCTTCCATTTCTTCATCTGTAAAATGAGGGGGTTGCCCTTAACATTTTTCTGTGTCCTGGACTCCTTTGGACGTCTGGTTAAGACTTGGGGTACCTTCTCAGAATGACATTTTTAAGTTCACAAAATAAAATATGTAGGATTACAAAGAAAACATTATGTTAAAATAGTTATCAAAATATATTTTTAAAAAATGATTTCCAGGTTAAGGTCTTTTGCTCTAGAGCTATGATCCAATAACTAACACATAGTAGGCACTTTATAAATGTTTGTTGAATTGAACCGAACGGAATTGAATCTACAGAAAGAAACAACATCTAAATTAACAATGAAGCCCTCTATAACAGCAAAGTAACCAGCAAGTTCCCTCGGCTATCTTTATGACTTTGGAGGTTTTGTTTTTACGACGGGTACAGATCACAAACCTCCCGTGGGCACTTTTTTATGAGTCTGTGTTCATATCTGCAAACACATTGCCACATTTATAGTCCTGAAGTGTTTTACTGAGGGCTTATTCTTGAGGAGTTATCATGGTATAGTGGAAAGAATGCTGGACTTGGAATCTAAGCTCCTGGGTTCAAATCTTTTGTATTCTACTTACTAGCTTTGCTACCTAGAACAAATCTATTAACCTTGGGGCAGCTAGGTGGTGCAGTAGATAGAGCACTGGGCCTGGAGTCATGAGGACCTGAGTTCAAAACTGACCTCAGACCAGACACTTGACACTTACTAGCTGTGTGACCCTGGGCAAGTCAATTAACGCCAATTGCTTCACCCCCCCCCAAAAAAAATTAACCTCTCTGAGCCTCAGTTTCTTCATCTGTCAAATCTGTCATCTGTCAAAAGTCAGCTTTGCCCTGCCTTCCTCACAGGATTGCTGGGAGTGTCAAATGAGACAATGGAGGTAAAAAGGCTTTCTATCTAAACCTTGGAGTGCTGCGTGAATGCCAGCTATTACCCCATGCCTGACAACATGCTTTGGAGAGGAATATGGAATGCTAATACCCTGAGCCATCTGTCAATACAGATCCTAGGTTATCTTGTACCACTTCCACTGGGAGCTTTGATGTGAGAACTCCCTGATCTGCTTTAGGCTGATCAAATTGTGTGATTCAATCCACAATTTGAAGACTGAGGAAGAAGTGGTGGCCAGCTGAGAAACTGCCTTGGATACTTCCAAGATAGTGACGTGAGTTATCTGTCCGTAAAAGATGTCTTTTGTGGAGGAAATCACGTTGTTATGGGAATCACTGCAGTGCAGTAGAAAGAGCCCTGGTGCTGGAGTCAGAAGTCCTGGGTTCCAATCCTGGCTGAGCCTCATAACTTGTGTGATTTTAGGCAAATCAGCTAACCTCTCTGAACCTCATTTTTCTCATACTAAAATAGTCAGGTTGGACTGGGTGACCTCTAAGGTCCCTTCCAGCCCTAAATCAATAATCCCATAATCTTGGTCACACTATGCTGCATAAATATATTTCCAATGAATGGTTTGAATGGAAGCTTTGGATAGAAATCTAATGGCCTTGAATGTGACATTGCAAAGAATTAGTAGAAGAATATACTGTCTATGTTGGCCACCCAAAATGGCCTGCCAAAGCTACCCACCTTTCTGGGATGCAAGAACCAGCTCATTTTCATCCCTGTGGGAGAAGGAGGAAACCTGGGGCACAAAAGCCAGACTTTACTTCCCAGTTTTTTAAAAAAATGGTAGCCGTCTTCCTTTTTGACTCTTGAGCATATAAAAGGTGAAGGCAGAGATATTGTCCTGCATGAAATATGAATTCCTATAACTTAGTAATTTTTTTATTATCTTTTATTTTGACATCACCTGTGTTTCCTACTATATTCCTCCCCTCAGCACTTTGGTAGAGAGAAATGAAATATAAAGAGGGAGGAGTATGTGAGAGGACAACAGAGACCCAATGGGGAAGGAGGAAGCAAATCAATGAAATGTGGCATATAAAAAAGTTTGAGAGACATAATTTCTGGTGATTTAATCATTTTATTAACAAAGGCAGAATGTTTATTATAAAAGGATGATCGTTTGGCCATCTCCCTCACACCAAAGATGCCTAATAGTGGTGGGCTTACATTTTATATGCCCTTGAAAGAGCAAGTGTTTAATCAACTCTTATTGGTTAACAATTAATGAGAATATCAATATTACAATGAGAAGCTGAGGGTGACATCATGTCACCCTTGGATTGAGAGACCATCTTTATACCCAGACCACCCCCAGCCTTGGGCAATTTAGACAAAGGGTCTGTCTCCACCCAAGCTTGCTTGAATGGAATTCACCTTAGGCGAAAGATTTCTTTCTTAGGTTGTGTGGGGTTGGATAGAGAAGGGTTAGCTTAACCTTCAGGCAGCTGGATATATTTGGTGGAGCAGTGGCTAGAGTACTGGGCTTGGAATCAGGAAGACCTGAATTCAAATCCAGCCTCAGATACTTACTACCTGTGTCACTCTGGGCAAGTCACTTAACCCTGTCTGCCTCAGTTTCCTCATCTGTAAAATGAACTGGAGAAGGAAAAGACAAACCACTCTAGTTATCTCTGCCAAGAAAACAAATGGAGTCACAAAAGTCAAACATCACTGAAATGACTGAACAACAACACGTTCCAGGCATGGCATTAAATACTGGGAACACCAAGAAAGATTGAAAACAGCCCCTCCTTTAAAGGAGCTCAAGGTCTACTGGGGGAAACAACATGTAAATAACTAGATTGAGACTTGATTCCCTGGTTCTGAGGTTGGCCTTCTATTCTCTATGCTGCCTTTCACATGATACCAAATCTTAGATGATAATTTTTAGTAGAGAAGCATGAATAAAGTGATCTGTGAGGTCTGGGGTGAAAGTTCATTGCCAGTGGGAGGTGGTCAAGAAAGGAGTACTTCATGGAGTAGGTGGCATTGGCATTGAGCTTCAGTGACTGAATAAGAGTTCAACAGGTAGAGGCAGGAAGGAGGGGGGTTTCAGGAATAAGTAACAATGTGAACAGAGGCACTGAGGTGGGAAACTGCAGGAGGTATGCATGGAGATAATGAATGATGCAATTTAGTTGGAGCACAAAACACGTGGAGAAGAGTAATATGAAATAAAGGTGGAAAAGAAGGGTGGATCAGATCACAGAGAGCCTTGAATGGTAAGGTAAGGAATCTGAAGTTTGTTGCGAGGGCAATAAAGAACCATCAGAGGGTTTTGAACAAATAGATCTATGTATAGGGCACATTAGTCTGGGAGTGGCATGTGGATGGTTTGGATGGGAGAAATAATGGATGTGGAGAGGCCATGAGGGGGACAGAAGAGGTTACTATGGGGGGCGGGGAATATTCTCGCTCATTCCAGCAGCTTTGGGATACTAAGGAAGTTTTCCCAAAAGAATAAGTTAGACTAATATGGTATAAAGCAACAGACCTTGATTATGAAGTGTTTCAATACACTCAGGGGATGAACTAAGGCTTAGGTACACCAGGGACAGGGACACAACTAGGGAAGTCATCAGAACTTGGGGTGGCATGGTGTTTAAGCTATGTCTGGAGGAGGAAAGGGCCTGCTGATGGTCAACTGGAGAGATGGCCATTGAACTTGGCAGTTCTCCATCTTGTCTCCTGTATACCTCCATACCAGGATATCTGGTCCAGGCAGACAAGAACCAGGAATTTTGCAGGGAGGAGGCAAGTTCTCATTTGGGTAGATTGGTGTGATTTCCCATTTCTAATGTCACAGGCAGGGAGATGCTGGGGACTGGATAGCAAATCAGATAAAGAAAACAAGTATGAAGATGGAGAGTAGACAGAGGGAGGTAACCTGTCTTAAGTGAGTTCTGAGGATGAAAAACCAATGTGTTTTTTTTTAAAAAAAACCTATCTGTAGGGGACAGAGCTGATGCTGGAGATGAAGATGTGGCCAACAGGAAGACATGAGCTAAAATTGAGGACATAAAAAAACCAAGGAAGCAAGGACAGAGAACAAGGGGAAATAGAGAATGTGGTAGAGAGGAAGACATGGTGGGCAGTTGGAATCATGAGAGAAACCTGGGGGGTAGGATGTGTTCATATGTGATATATTCTAATCCTACCTTAATTAACTTCCCTTCTCTTGCTGGTTCTGTTTAATACCACCAGCTATCTCATACATCGTTACAGTCATAACAGGGGATGTCCAGGGGGCTGGGACCAAGTCCAAGATTTTTCTTGTCATGTATGGAGCCAGAGGAAATAAGAACAGTGGGAAAATCTTCCTGGAAGGAGGAGTATTTGACAGAAATCGGACGGACATCTTCAACATTGAGCTGGCTGTCTTGCTCAGCCCCCTGAGCAGAGTCTCCATTGGGCATGGCAACGTAGGCGTCAACAGAGGCTGGTACTGTGAGAAGGTGAGGGATTCCAGGCTTGGGGAGCTCACCCTGATTCCTCCCATACCGTCACCAATATGTTAGCAGTTAACCCTTTTCCTACAGTGAACTTTGGTTATCACTGTCACCTATTGGTTATATGTATGCCAGTCATATATTCTGTTGGATTGAAAATTTGTTGAGGGCCTGGGGTCATTCTTGTACAGAGACTCTAACATAGTCATAGACTCACTGAGTTCTCAGAGAATACATTCTGACTGTCTAGTGCATGGTACAGAATACAAAATCAATTAGTTTGTCATTCAAGAAATATTTATTGAACACATACTTTGTATTCAGGTCTATCCCAAGCACCATAGGAGAGAGTGACCCTCTATCTCACCACATCACACCTCCCTTTCTTTCACCATTATTCTTCCCATGTATCCAGTACCTTCCTGTTTTCCCTTCTCCTTTTCCATTTGTTAAAAAAAAGCTAGTTTTAAGATTAAATTCCTGATTTAACTTGTTTTGCTGTGATTCACCTCCTAAAAAAGTCTTCTCAATTGAGTGTTCTGGTTAGTTGGCTTTCTGTTGAGATAACTGGCTGCACAGAAAACAACAACAACATCAACAATATTGAAAGAAGGTTTTGAGAAAGGAAGTTGGTCAGGGACTCTAGGATGGTAGATTGGAGCCAAGCTTTGAAAAAGCAAGGGATGTCCTCTGTGGGTAAAAGGGGAGAAGAGAAAATCTCACTCTTTTGATAAGTAGGCTGATAAGTACCCTGAGATTTCCTAACATGATGGTCACTGAAAGAAAAATGGGCTCATAATCACAGACTGTGAGACCTCAGAAGTGATTGAGCTATAGGATAGGATCATAGATTTATATCTGGAAAACACCTTAAAGACCACTGAGTAAACCTACTCATTTTACAGATGAGGAAACTGAGGCTGAGAAAGGTTACGTGATTTACCCAAGATCATACATCTAGTAAGTGTCTGAAGATTCTGGTCTTCCTGACTCCCATCCAACACTCTACCCATTGTGTCTCTCAGTCCACTGTCCTCATTTGACAGGTGAATAAACTGAGGCCCAGAGAAGGGAAATAACATGCCCAATATGGCACAGTAGGAATTTAACTCCAGGTCTTCTGACTCAAAGTCCAGTATGCTCCTCTTTCTCTTTCCTTTTCTTCTTCTCTTCTTTCTTCTCTCCCTTTCCTTCTCTCTCTTCTTTCTCTCTCCTTTTCTCTCTCTCTTCTACTTTTTTCTTCTTCTCCCTCTCTTTACTTCTCTCCTCCCTCCTCCTCTTCCTCTCTCTGTCTTGTTCTCTCTCTTCTCCTCCTCCCTCCTTCTTCTTTTTCTTCTCCTTCTTCTTCTCCTCCTTTTCTTCCTCCTCCTCCTCTCATCTTCCTCCTCTTTCTCCTCCTTCTTCTTCTGCTTCCCCCATCTCTATTCTTCTCATCTGCTGTGGAGGCAGGCTCTCCTATGAAGGAATGCTGGAAATGGATCTTGGTCTGTTTTCCTCAGGTGGTGATTTTGTGTCCATTCACTGGCATACAACAGACTTTCCCTTGCAAAAACTGGCTGGATGAAAAGGAAGGTGACGGGCTGATTGAGCGGCAGCTCTATGAGGTGGTGTCCCTTCGGAAGAAGAGACTCAAGAGTATGTGTTGAAGTCAGGCTGGAGGAATCTCCAGATTCCAGACAGAACTTTCAGGGACCCAAGCTACTGCTGTTCCACTCTTCTCTATTAGAGAACAGGGTGTGGGAGGGGGGCGGTTTGGTGGGGGAGAACAGGGACATAGACTTCCGAGTAGATTGCCTAGGATATGTTACTTCCTAGGTTTGGGGCCCCAGCTCTCCAGAGCAAAGACCAATGAGAAATCCACAACCCATCTAGCCCTGCTGCAAATAGTTCCATTTTCCAAAAATTAACAGACCATTTACTTGTAATGTCCTTGAAGGCAATTGAGTTGTTCAAAGCAGCATAGATAAATCACATTTTTAAAAGTTGTCTTATTTTAAGTGCTCTAGCAGAACTCTGGTTATTTGGAGGAATTTTGAGACAAATCCTATTATAAATCAAAGAATTCTTTTGTAAACAAGTCATCACTCCCTAATTTATCTGTCTTATCTGTTTCAATTTTGGTATAGCTGAGCTTTTGCTGTTGCTGTTATAACAGTCGCATCACCGTATATCTTGTCTTGGTCTCAAGTACTCTTGATCTTTTCTTCTTTCCCCCATTTGTAAGAGTTTGGTTTAAATATATATGTATATAGATAGGTAGATATGCACACATATACAGACACACATATACACATATATACACACATACACATATATACACACCCACTCCCTATACATATACATATATATATATATAAAATATATATATACATGCATACATATATATACATATATAAACATCTTGTCCCTTAATCTCGAGTAGTATTGATCTTTTCTTCATTCTCCCATTTGTAAGAGTTTGGTTTAAATATATATGTATATAGACACATATAGACACATATATACATATATACTATATACCTACCCCCATACATATATATGTGTGTGTGTGTGTGTGTGTGTGTGTATATATATATATGTAACTTTTTGTCCCTTAATCTCAAGTAGTATTAATATTTTCTTCTTTCTTCCATTTGTAATAGTTTAGTTTAAATATATGTGTATATGTGTATATATATGTATTTCACCACAAAAAAAAAATTACAGAATAACTTCACTTGTTTTTGTTATGGTTTTGTTCTGTTTTAAGAAGTTGCCTGGTCTCTCTGGGTCTGGACAAATGACCTGAAGAAAGCTGCGTGTAATGTCCCCGTGTTTATCCAGCTTTATGGACAGAAGGGGCGAACTGATCAAATTCGTCTGAACCCAGGTCCACAGGCTTTAAACCTGGCAAAATTGACAAATTCAGGGTAGGAGCAATGAGTGTGGGGAAAGAGGGAAGAGGTATTTCACTGGGCATCATAGAAAAAATTTTTTATAAAAGCTAAGATTAGGTGAATATTGGGTTTTTCTTTTTCTTTTTTAAGAAATTTTCATTTCAATTCATCAAACATGTATAAGGTACTGAGAATGCAAAGAAAAAAACAAAAAAAAAACTCCTTCCCTCAGGGAGTTTACATTTTACTAGAGGATACAGCCTATAGAGAAATAAAAAGATATGAGATAATTTGAGGAGAAAGAAAACACTAAAAACTAGGAGAATCAGGAAGAACTTCCCGTGGCAGGTGGTATCTGGATTGAATCTAGAAGAAAGGTAAGGATTCGAAGAAGGGGAGGTGAGGAGTGAGTACATTCCAGGCACAGGTCACAGCCTGTGCAGACACACAGAGGTAGGAGATGAGGGCAGAATTCTGGGAACAGCAAGGAGAACAGGCTGACTAGAAAGATGGGAGCCAGACTGTGCTTGAATTTAAATGCCAGTTCTGAAGGGCTTAGCATTTTATCCTAGAGGCAATAAGGAGACAGGGTAGGAGACAGACTGTAGATCCCAATAAGGAACAATATTACATTATGTACAATTCACTGAATAGAACAGGAATGGAATTTAAATATCTCCTAGAGTTTCTATCTGGATTAAACTGACCAGACAGGAGCTTAAGAAAAAAAAAAGGTAATTAGTCCAGGGAATTATAGCACCACAATGAAATGGTCTAGAGCAGAGGAATCAGTCATATGGTAGCAGGCTGGGAGGCCCACCACAGATTAAATTGTAATTGGGAAACATTTGACAAAATAAATTAAAATATAATAAATAATAAAATAAAATAAAAATAGATGATGTTAGTTTGTGGTTTTCTAAGTCAATATGAAGCTGTTATGTAAAGTATAGTGAACCTCTTTTTATCTGAGTTTGGCACCACTGAGCCAGAGGATTCAGAAACGTTGATGACACCTTGGTTCAGAAAACATTTGCCTTCTGGGGATGGTGAGTAATAGTGCTCATCAGCATGTGCAGGATTTTTTTTAAGCAAGAAGGATCCAAATTAAAGTCTGAATCTGACTTTTTTTTTTGCTAGGCAATGGGGTTAAGTGACTTGCCCAGGGTTATACAGCTAGTAAGTGTTATGTGTCTGAGGTCGGATTTGAACTCAGGTCCTCCTGAATCCAGGGCTGGTGCTCTATCCACTATGCCACCTAGCTGCCCCTTGAATTTGACATTTTTTTTTAAAAAATAGAATTTTTAAGAATACTTTTTACTAGAACTATTTGTTCTTAACTTATAGAAGGCTAACAAAGGATTTCCTAGTTTGAGGACCTATTCTGGTGATTAGATAAAATGACTCTCAAACGAGGCATCAAATCAGGCCAAGGGGGCTGGTTCCAACATGCGATGAAGCTTAGAAATGTTTATTATCCAATGAGTATAAAACCCTTGCAAAATACTCACAGGTAAACACTTTCAGGGCAGTGCCATTAGAAGTCAGCCACACTTAGATTGTTCCTTTGATAATTCATCACAGAGAATTTCTAGGTCATCATTAAACTAAAGCCTTGAACTAGAAAGCCCTCTGTTCACCTAGATGGTTCATCTCTAAACCTCAGTTAGAACCTGGCTGAAATGCACCTTCTGCACAATGTTTTTCCTGATGCCCCGAATGAGTAATATCTTTCTTTCCTTGAATTTCATGGTGCACTTGATTAATTTGTGCATACGTCGTATCCCCAAGCTCCATGAGGGCAGAGACCGTGTTTTATTCAACTTTTTTTTATTTCCTCCCACGCCTAGCACAGTGCTCTCAACGTAGCAACCACAGAACAAATATTGGCTGAGTGAATTAATGAATGAAGGAGTTGGAATTAGGGTTAGAAGATCCCTTCCTATTAAAAAAATGCTCTAATTCTTCTTGTGTGTCTAGTATTCTGAATCAAGGACATCCAAGTTAATAAACTCCCCTACCAATGTAATCAATGCACCTTCTTTGCAACATTTTTTGTTGTAGAGAGAGTTGCTTAACAACAATAGACAACGAACATTCATTAAACACTTACTACATACCAAGCATTAAGCTTACTGCAGAAGATGCAAACAAGCACAAAAAAAAAGAGAGTCCCTAAACTGAGAAGAGTATGTTTTAAGGAGGATAACACATAGAGAGCTGAAAAGCAGAGTTGGGGAGAAAAAGGGTACATTAATGAGGAGGAGTGATGGTGAAATCAGGAGACTTCCCAAGCATGGCTGGGAGGGAAAGAAGCTTGGGGCATTGAGAAGTTAAGGGTCTCACAGTCAGTTCTGTGTCAAAGGTAGGATCTGAAATCAGATCTTCCTGACTCCAGGGCCAGCTCTCTGTTACACTACTTCTCCACCTTAGACACTTAGATGTTCAGTGAATTGAATGGACTCCAAGTATATGGTCTGTGAGTCAGTCAAGTATTTATTAAGCACCTACAATGTGCTAGGTACTATGCTAAGCTGAGGACACACAAAAAATGCAAAAGACAGTTCCTGTCCTTGAGGAGTTCACAGTCTAATGGGGGATACAACATGCAAACAACTATGTAGAAACAATCTGTATACAGGAGAAATAAGAAATGATGAAGAGAAGGAAGGTACTAGGATCCTTCCTGTAGAGGGTATAATTTTAGCTGAGACTCCAAGGAGACCATGGAAGCCAAGAGGTGGTAATGAGGAAGGAGACTATTCCAGAAATGGGAGACAGACCACGAAAATACCCCAAGCAGAGACAGGGAGTAGAAGCCAAGAGGTCAGTGTCACTAAATCAGAGCATATGGGGTAAGGAGTAAGGTGCAAGAAAAAATGAAAAGGGAGGAGTGGGGCTGGTTATGAAGGGCTTTGAATGCAAAACAAAGGATTTTGTATTTTACCCTGGAGGTAACAGGGCGTCACTGGAGTTTATTTAGTAGGGTGGCAAAAGGGTTGGTCCTGGGCTTTAGGAAAATCACTCTAGCAGCTGAATGGAAGATGGACTGGGGTGGGAGGGAGACTTGAGGCAGGCAGGCCTTCAACAGTGCAGAAGCAAGGGGATGAGGGTCTGCCCCAGAGTGGTGGCAGTGTCAGAGGAGAGCATCATCTTTACATCAGAGACAAGGCTTTTTGTCATTGTTTTATCCTCTCAAGGGCCTTTGGTCTTTTTCATACAGCTTGAAATCCCAGATCTTGGGAGATTTTATAAGATCAGAGTTTGGCATGACAGTAAGATTCCTGGTTCTGGATGGCATCTAGTAAAGGTGAGAAGCGGAATCTTGTCCTTCAATCTCTATCTCCATGGGTGGGGAAAAAGGCAGGAAAAAACTGGGATCCCTTTTAGTGATCCCACCCCAAAGGTTTGCCAGGTACTCATCTGTAGCCCCAGGAGTGGGGAGGAGGGCTAGGTGGTCACTGAGGTCAGCCTGTATCAGAATAGAAGGTATCAGACTCACAGAGGGGAGGAGGGTGGAATGACTTCCCTGAGGAGAGCCAGGGGATCAGACCACAGATGCTCCATCCTTGTTTCCAGAAAACTACGGGCCTCTGACAGGGATGGGGCAGAAGAGTCCCTCGTCCCTGCCCCTCTCCCACGACTATCCCTACAGCCTCCTTAGGGGGTAATCTCTAAGACCAAACTCAGCCTGTCTTTGTTAGGACAGCAGAAGGGGCGCGCGGGCATGTTTGGTGCTGCTTCACCGAGTCCGGTCCATGGCATCTTTCCAGATGACGCTGTTGAATTCCCTAACGAAGGACAAGTATAACTTCAACTGTAACCGTTGGCTGGATGTCAATGAGGATGACTATGAGACGGTGAGGGAGCTTACTGCAGAGGGCCCGACAGTGCGCAGGATAATGGGAAGTGAGTGCTGATCCCAGCTTCTGGGATAGGACAGACCTTGCTGAGAGGAGGGTAGAGAATTCTTTGTTTTCCTCTGAGGAGTAGGGGTGACCCAGAGCGCCACTGAGGGGTGCAGTCAAGAGCCTGTAAACCTGATCTCTCTGTACCCTGAAGTCCCTATCTTTAAATGCCGTAATGTTTGGGGGCCAGGAAAACCAAAGCAGTCTGGAGGAGCGTGCTATCTGGGGGGGGGGTGGGGTTCTAGGGCACATGAGAAGTTCTAGCTAGACAGATCTAGGCTTCCTCAGAATGTCCCTAGATTTAAAAATAGGAATAAGACCATATACTTAGACAGAACTTTACTATTTCATAAAGTAAAATCCTAAAATTGGAATCGAAGGACCTGGATTCAGATCCTGGTTCTGCCACTAACCACCTGGGTGGCTGCCAATCTCGTTACCTTCTTAGGCTCTAGTTTCCTTTATTATGAAATTAAGGGATAAGTCCTAAAATTTAGAATTCTGGACCCAATGGTAATTTCCCCCTTTTATTGTATTAGTAGAAATTTGCTTATGCTTTTACATATCACACCCCAAAAAAGATCCCTTAGGAGCTGAGCAATGCTGCCTTGGTGCAGGTTACCCCCTGGTCACCGGCATAGGATCACAGATTTAGAGCTAAAAGAGACTTCAGAAGGAACCTGGTCCAATACCCACATTTTATAAATGAAAAAAAAACCATGCAGCTGATTGCGTGATTTGCCCATGATCACCCAGCTGGTGTCAGAGATAGGCTCTTCCTGAGTTCAGCACTCATTCCACTTAGCCACAGCATTGTTCCCCTCAGAAGAGTGACATGTGGAAGCTTATGCTCCTACACTGTGTCCATGATCATCCGAAACCCTCTGTGATGTACTATCCGAATGGATACTATGTGCAATCACACTTTGCCTTTACCTTTTCCTAATTATCCCTGGCCTTTGCTAATTATTAATAGGGCTCACCCTTGGCCATGTGTGTGGGGCTATCAGTTCTGCTGATTATAGCTGCCCTGGGTGTGACCACTGGGGCCTCTCTGACATTCCCTCTCCTATTGCCATGTCCATGTAGTTCTTCTTCCTTTCTCCCAGGGCAGGGCAGGCTCAGATCCACACAACTTTGAAGTCAGCCTAGCCTTCCTGATTATTTCTCCCTTTCTATTGCCATCACTCAAAGACATGATTATCATTGTGAAAATTTAATTCACTATGACAAGATAGTGAGGCACCTACTTGGAGGAGCTCTCCAGTACCCACCAAGGCTAGTACCTACTCTATCTATATATAGGGCCAGCTCTGGGGTAAAGAACGAAGAAAATAGAAGGTCCTTAGCCTTAAGATTTCCTCATCAAATAGGAGAGAGAGAAGCAGAACAAAAGCTATATCCCTTCAACATCATGTGGGTTAGGGGGTGTGGTATCCCCATGATCTGGAAAACCCATGTAAAATTTTTTGGCCCTCCTTCATACCAGAGAAGAAATCTCTATTTTTTTTTCTTTTTCTCTTATAGTGTGTTTACAGCACTTCATTGTAAAATTTTGGTTAAATATTTGGTCATAGGCTATGTTGTACAATACTATACATATATTTTATGCATTTCTGAGTTTCTAAACTTTTTCCGTGTCACCTGCTGGCCTTTGGGAGTGTCATCTGTGGCTTCTGCAAAACTCCCCCCAAATTCCCATTTAATTTCTTACGCCTAACTGTGACATATCAAAACTGCAGTGGGGAAAATGGCGATTTGGAAGGGATAACTATGCATATGACCAGCCCTTCACCTCCCCCCCCCCCAAAAAAAACCCACAACAGAATCAAAGAAAATACTCCCTTGGGCAAAGCCCAGTTACCAACTGGAAGTCTCTCTGTTTAGGAGATGTATTATGCTATATAGAAAGAGGTATTCAATTTGGAGTGGAGGGGACCTGAGTTTGAATCTCACCTCAGTCACTTACTACCTATGTGACTTCGAGTAGGTTACTTAGTCCTTCTGGGCCCCAGTTTTCTAGTTTCCTCATCTGTAGAATAATCAGGCTGGCCTAGATGACTTCTAAGTACTTTCCATCTCTAAATCTATGAATAATAATCTGATTTCATATCTACTTTTTAATCCTAGGGGGATTGAAATGTTATGGAATGTTATATTAAATAAGATGTAATTAGAAGGTGAATCTGTGTGTGGGGGAGAATGATGTTATAACGTATTTCAAAGTTGAAAGTAAGGAATTTTTGTGTTAGCTAATATTCTGCATTGTTCATATAACTGCTACCCTTCTCTTGGGGTCTGTTGCTCAAGAGGCTTCACAAAAGAATTAGATTTCACATATTTAAGGGATGTCTACACAGTTTAACTAGGGAAACTCAAGGGAACCCAAAGAAGAAAGCATGGGTAGAAAGGGACGGTGTCCAGGTACTGTAATGGGGCAGCGGCTAAGTCTGCCAACCTTACCTATGCTGAGACTGGATAATCTATCTAATGAGAGTCTATCTCCTATGCACAATGGGGCCAGAATGGACTCTGACAAAGTGTGGGGAAGGGATGCCATCAGAGATGTCTCAAGAGAAGCTTGAGGCACAATGATATCAGGCTCTAGCAGTAGCCTAGTAGGAGCTCATTATGGTCTGGTGAGAGGCTGATTCCAGGGCATGATGCATCCTTATATCAAACTCTCAGTAGGATTCCTGGGTCCATCTTCATACCATGCCTAAGGTCATCTCAGGAGTTATGGCAGTGAAGGGACTTTATAAAGAAGAATGGGAGCCTACTTAGGCATGTTTCTTTGGTTTCCTACCCCTGAGGTCACAGGCAAAGATGGACAAATCAATTAAGCAACTGGAAGCTTCTATACTAGAAGGTTCCAGATGTGGAAGATGCTACCCTGGGGGGAGGTATCCAGTAAAAAGACAAGGCAGTATGGAAGATGAGGAGACTAGGCAGGAAGAAAAGTTGTGGCTAAAGAAGACAGAGACAAATCACTTAGAAAATTCCAGACTACAACACTCTCCATCGGCACAGACAGTCAAGAATTGACCTTGTAGATATACATTATTTTACGAGATAGATTGCATTCCAGCAAAAATGGCTAAAATTCTCTAAAACAAACCCCATTTGTTCATTGACCTCTCTTTTAAAAATCAAAGATACATTTTTATCTGAAAAATATTCCCCAATAGATTGAAGTTAACACTTTTGTCTAGGAAGGGATTAAGATATGGCCAAGTTATGCTGGGTTTTGAGGTACATGAGTAGGCCTCTATGTCTTCTGGGGGTTCTTTGTCTATTTTGGAGCAACTCCAGATTAATTGGCCTCTGTGGCTTCCCTGTTTGGAACAGAGGGATTTCTCCCCTGCCAGGGAAATACTTAACTACACACTCATAGTTCCCAGAACTCAGCTATTCTTCTCTCTTTGTCTGGTTATTTATGGCAGCTTACAGAGTTTGGCTGCAATCAATTTATCCACCTAATGCCCCCATATAACACACAAGAGAAGACAGATTAAACATTCCTTAAGTTTGAAACTTGGAATTATGGAAAATCAATCAGTATTCTATTCTGCAGATTCAAATTGCAGCGATCTAGTTCACTTAAAATGAGGTATGAGTATAACAGTATTAAGAGACAACATAGTGTAATGATAGAGAACTGGTCTCTGAGTCAGTAAGACCTGGGTTCAAATCCTTCCCCTAACAAATACCCTTTCCGCTCCTCATCTGTAAAATGAGAGGGTTGGGCAAGATGGCTGCTGTGATCATATCAAGCTCCAAATCTATGCTTCTTTGAATTACAACCATACATGTATATATGTATGTAAGTGTGTATGTATATATGTATATATATATGAACATATGTATATATACATGTGTATCTGTATGCTGGAAGGGTTTCAGGAGTGATTGCATTGATTAACACAGGCTTTAAAATATGGAGGAAATATTTACCAGCTCACAGTTTATTTTCACCCTTCCTTTCCCCAGGAGCCACCCAGATAGTAAAATAAATGAAAGCAGCATCCTTTACTGCTTGCCCAGCAGAAGTGATTACTCCCCATAGACAAGTAGGCAAGAGACCATCGGATTTGAATATTAGATATTGCAGGTTAATCAGACTACACTGTAATTTTTTTTAATTAAAGCACAAATAAGAGGTTCTGGTACTTACCCATCTGTTTAAAATCTTTTCCTGGTAAAGCCTATCAACATAATTATCTTTAACCATCTGCAGTATCATTGTCAGGGTATAGCTTTGGCCAAAGGTGCTAGGGATCCATATGGGATCCCAATAAGAAGAACTACATGCTCTTTGAGAACTTCTGAGCAGATGAAACTTAGACCACTTGAACAAAGATCCTTCCTTGTTCATGTTTAGAATGGGTGTGTGGCCAAGGGGATTGAGTACCTGTTCACTACAGGTAAAAGAGCAGAGACGGTCCTCTACAAAACCGTGGCAAAGTTTGTTTTGAGCACCTATACTTCCTCCCTTCCACCTTCCCAGACTTTCAGCATCCCCTTCCTCTCTCCTTACCTGGTAACCAAGAGATTTTTGGTGTTTAGAATCTCTCTGGTCAGTAACATGGTAAGGTATTGCCTCCTTTCCAAGGTTATTTGTTTTTTAAAAAGAACTTGGAAAAGATAATACTTAATCTCAAGGGATAGGAAGAATGATGAGATTTCTGGCACTGTGACAGCTTGCTGAGGAAACTGTTTCTGGGCAATGCGGCGCACCCACTCAAATCACCATGCAGCTGACCACTTAATCTGTCTATGCATGAGGGTGACTATAAAAGCAAAAGTCGATTGTTGTTTTTCATTACTTGAATGTTTACATTAGTGCCAAACCCTGTGCCATTTGGCCACAGTAGAACTCTGGCCAGATGAATGAAAGTCAAACTCAGCATTTTAGCGTTCCTCACTTTGTGCAACCCCTATGAGCATATTTTCCTGAAAAGTTACATGTAAATTGAATTTTTTCATAAATAGATTCTGATTTTCTTGTTGACACCATTCTCATTTCTGAAATGTTGGATTGTGTTTCATCTATGACAGACCTTCAGTGCACATGGCTCTTCAACATAGCTACATTTAATTTCTCTGTCCTCATCTCTTCTACCACTACCAACTTCTTATATAAAGACAATATTTTATTGAGCTGGCAAGTGTAGGTGGCAGCACTGAACTGGGAATCAGGAGATCTTGGGTCTACACTTGCTACTAACTGGTTGTACAACCTTGGGCAAGTCATTTCCCTTCATGCAACCTCAGTTTCTTCAATGGAAAAAAGGGGATTCCATGACCTCTTCAGGTACTTTCATACCCTCAAATCCCATGATTCCAATTAATGAGAGTTAGAAATTTATATGTAATCAAAGGGGTCTTTCTATTTAAAGGTATCCCAAAACATGAAATTTTTTCCCACTGACTTAGTACAAAGATAGAAATTTTCTTGTGTCAGGGTTGTTAAAAGTGAGGTCTAACAAGAAAAACTCAATTCATTAAAAGCTTGAATCAAATATTTCCTGTGAATGCAGAAGGGCTCCTTACCATCCCTGCATCCAGGGACAGACCCCTTCTTTCTGCCCCCTTCCCAAACTTGCTGACAGTCATTTGTTGGGCACTGCTAAATGCTTCTACCTAAGAGCCAGACTTCTCTTTGAATGCACTGATTCTTATGTAGGGGGGTTGTTTATGGGGGCGCGGGGATACCACTTTTCCATTTTTTTTCCTGTACCCCACCCCTACTCTACTGAGGAGGAGTTAATTGGTTTCATGATGTCTCATTTGTTTCCTGGAATCTCAACACAAGAGAGCAGGTCAGAGGGTATAATCAGCCCCCAATAACAAATTAAAATAGCTCTTTTGACACAATATGCTGTGCTGATCTTCCCAGTGGGCCCACACGGTTCTTTGTGCTGATGACTTCTGTGCCTTTAGCAAAGATTATTTCACAGTTTATTTAAAAGTGACCGAGAGGACTGGGGAGCGCTGTGCCGAGTGCCAACCTCATCTATAGCACAGTTGGCTTTTTTTAGAAAGGCCAAACAATGAGAACTGGGAGGAATATCTTTGGAGCATAGCAGCAGCCCGTTGAATGAATGTATCTCATGCCCCTCTTGCCATCCCCTTCCCCCTTCCCTATTATCCCTTCCCTTTCTTCCTCAACTTTTATTGCATACCTACCATGTGCCCAGCCTGTGCTAAATACCACTGGAGAATATATGAACAGCAAAAGACTGGCTATTTTTCCACAAGGAATTTATAAATTGGTTGGAAAGACAGAACAAACACATAAGAAACAACTGGAAAAAAAATACATAACTATGTAAAATCACAAAGTAGAGTAAAAATTAGTAAGTCCTAGTCAGTCCTGTGTGCACTCAGAAAGTGGGAAGGTGAATGTAGGCTAGAGGTGATCAGGGAAGGTTTCATGGAGGAAATAAGAGTTGATTTGGGACTTGAAAAATAGGGAACATTTGGAGAGGTGGAGGGAATGGGAGAGGGAAGAATGGTGGGGGTGGGGAGAACTCTAGGGCAAAGGCTCTTGAGAAGGGAAGGCGAGGGCTTTTCCACAGAGCAGAAAGAAGATGATTCACTTTGACAGTGGTCCAGTATCGAGTGACGCTGTGTACAGGGGACATTGAAGGAGCAGGGACAAATGCCCGAGCTTTCGTCTGCCTCTTTGGTGACGCCGGAGATACCGGGGAGCGCACCCTGTCTAGCATCATCTGCAGGAACAACACTGATATATGTCAAAAAGGCAGTGTAAGTATCATAATGTTCTCTACTCTCTTCTTCCCAGACTGTCCCTTCCTCCTTGCCTTTTAGAATGATGTCATTCTTGTTGCTGGCTAAGATAAGAGGGACTGAATCAGATTCCCTGGGTAGGAAGAAATCCCACTGGAAGCAGCCACTTTGTATACCTCAGTAGAGTGTGAATTCATTGGAGTTTAGGATTACAGATGTGAAGCTGAAAGGGACCCCAGAGGCCATGTAGTCTGATTCCCTCATTTTACAGATTAGGAAACTGAGGCCCAAGGAATTCAAGTCACTTATTCAAGTTCACACAGCTTGCAAGTGGTATCCTATGGATTCAAATCCAGGTCCTATAGCAACAAATCCACTCACTTTCTACTGCATCATGCTTCCTTTTTTTGTTGCCTGTTAGGAGAAATTAAGGGGAGGTAGAGGCAAAGCATGCAGGATCTTCTGAACTTGAAAAGGAAAATGGATTTGAGAGAAAGGGAACTGGCCTTGTTCACTGGCAGAGTAGGTGTCTGCCTACTTGATGTTATTTTGAAGAACTCTATGAATGGCATTTGCCCCCCCCCCCATATTTCTTCCTATCCATATAGTCTAACTAGGGGCTGGGAGGATCTGAAGAGCTTTTGGAATTATAAGCACCATAAGAACAGGAAGCTGGGTGGTGCTGGGTAAAGGATGCGGAATTTAGAATCACGTGATCTCAGTTTGAATCCTGGCTGTACAACTTATTCCCTATATGGCCTTGGATGAATTATTTAACATCTCTGTTCCACAGTTTCCCTATCTGTAAAGTGGGGGGGAGGGGTTGGCCTAGACAGCCCCCAAGCCCCTTCCAACTCTAGATCTGAGACCTTAGATGGGAGCCTAGGAAGTATTTTATCTATAAGATGGACTACTGGCATTACTCTGCTTGTGTCTTAGAACTGAGAATGCCCAATGTGCTTTAGAAATGGGGGCTATTTATTATATAATTAGAACCCTCACCTCCCTCCTCCTTTCCCCATCTCCCTTCTCTTTAAGGATACCAAAGGGGAAAGGAACAATCACTAGGGGTGGGTGGGAGATGAGAATGTGATGGAAGACCTGTGGAAGACTTCTCTGAGGGCTGGCAACTTTTCTACATGCCTCCTGTGGGCAATTTTTTCAATCTGTAGGGATCTCTGATGTTGTTGGTTTGGGTCCTTGAATTTGAAAGCTTTATTGACTCAACACATCATCTTTGAAAGTGGCTGTAGCAAGGGGGGATCTGGGTGGCGCAGTGGATAGAGAACCGGCCCTGAAGTCAGGAGGACCTGAGTTCAAATCTGGTCTCAGACCAAATACTTGACATTTACTGGCTGTGTGACCCTGGGCAAGTCACTTAACCCCAATTGCCTAAAAAAAAAAAGTGGCTGTAGCAGAAAAATTTATCTCCCTTTGGCCACCCTAGTGCAAGACCTCTCTGAACCAAGCTAGGTCAGCCCTTGGTTACTATCACCAGGGTGATACTGATAGCCTTTGCTGGGACCTGCCAGAGCTTGGGCTCTGCTGACATCATCTTAAAGAACCCAAGATTCCCTCCACACCACAATGAAGTCTTAAATAATAATAATAACAATAACAATATTATAGCTCACATTAATGGTGAAAATGTTAGGTACTGTGACAGATAAATGGGGGAAATGCTTTGGGGGAAGAAGCCCTTCTTGGTATCCCTCAACTCACACCATGTAAGTGGCTGATTATCCTTATGTGTAAGGCTATCCTTAATCATTAGAACTAGTTATTTTCCTTTAGAGGCTGGGGGAATGAGATTAGAGGTGGACATAGAAGGATAATTACAATATAATTTGCCCTGCTTTTTTTCTCCTTGGATAAGGCGGATGAGTATACCATTGAAGCAGTCACCCTGAGGAAGGTGAAAAGAGTCAGAGTTGGCATGATGGCAAAGGAGGGGGCAGCGGCTGGTACCTGGAGCGAGTGTTAGTGAGAGAAGAAGGGCAGCCAGAGAGTGACAATGTGGAATTCCCTTGTAACAGGTATGAGAACCCCAACCTGTCCTATTGCTGAGTTTTTCTGTTCCTCAGGAATAAGAGCTGAACTTCTGGTTCCACTGGTGTTGAAAATTCCTGAGTAAGGAAACTTACTCTGCTAGAGTAGGCTGGCACTTTCCCTGCAACATATAGTCTCAAAGAGATGCCTGGAGCCCTGAGAAGCTGAGACTTGCCCAGTGTCACATAGCTCAGCCAGTATGTGTCAGAGACAGGATTAACTAGGAAATGGGCACACTGGGTTTTTTCCTAAGCAATTGTTGCAGAGCTATTTCCTAGATGATGCCCACTCATGGCAATTACTAAGGCTCCATGATTTTGGAGAGGTACAGGAGATTGAAATTGCTGTTTGGACCAGGCAAGGAGGCAGCAAGAGGAGTATTTGGTGATAAGTAGCATCTATCTAAAACCATCAGCCAGCATTATATGTAATGGGGATAAGCTAGAAGCATTTCTGGTTAAGATCAGGGGTGAAAAAAGGATGTCCATTATCACCACTGGTAACTGTGCATACCCTTTGACCCAGCAATACCATTTCTAGGTCTGTATCCCAAAGAGGTCATAAAAATGGGAAAAGGACCCACATGTACAAAAAATATTTATAGTAACTCTTTTTGTGGTGGCCAAGAATTGGAAATTGAGGGGATGCCCATCAACTGGGGAATGGCTGAACAAGCTGTGGTTTATGAATGTAATGGAATACTGTTGTTCCATAAGAAATGATGAGCAAGTGGACTTCAGAAAAACCTGGAAAGACTTACGTGAACTGCTGAGTGAAGTGAGCAGAACCAGGAAAATATTCTACACGGTAACAGCAACCTTACACGATGACCAATTTTGATAGACCTAATTCTCAACAATACAAGGGTCTAAGACAATTAGAAAAGACTCATGATGGAAAGTGCTATCCACATCCAGAGAAAGAACTATGGAATCTGAATGCAGATCGAAGTACACTATTTTCTCTCTCTCTCTCTCTCTCTCTCTCTCTCTCTCTCTCTCTCTCTCTCTCTCTCTCTCTCTCTCTGTGTCTTTTGTTTTTTTTCTTTCTAGGGGTTTTCCCCTTGGGTTCTACGTCTCCTTTACAACATAACTAATGTGGAAATATGTTTAATAAGATTGTACATGTACAGCCTATATCAGATTGCACACTGTCTTGGGGAGGGGAAGGGGAAAGAGGGAGAGAAAATTTTGGAACTCAGAATCTTTATAGAAGTGAAAGTTGAAAACTAAAAATAAATAAATAAATAAAGATTTTAAAAAATAAACTCAAAAGTACTAGGTAGCAAAGCAAAATAAAAGTGTAATAAAATTAGAATCTGTAAACTATGTTTGAAAAAGAGGAGTGTTTGTAGAGGAATTTGATGTAGTGTACAGAGCTCTGGATTTGGAGTTGAAAGCAGTGTTGCTGCTTACTAACCTATAGGATTTTGGAGAAGTCATTTCCCCTCCCTAATTCTTAGTTTGGTATAAAATGAAGATAAAATGACCTCAAAGGTCTCTTCCAGCTGAAAACCCAGTTAAGTATTTGGTTCTGCCTGACAGTATTAAAAAGGACCTGAGGCCCATTATGATCCATCACAGCTGAGAACTTTGCCTTCTACTTCAATTAAAAATCTTAAATCATATACTAAGAGCTCTGTCTTCTCCCCTCCTCACTTCCCATCATATCACAGCCAGTCCCATTACAATGGAAGCCCCTTGAGGGCAGGGACTGACCTTTTTCTTTGTTTTCATAACATAGGGCCTAATAAATGGTAGGCTCTTAACAGAGGCTTGTTGACTGACAAGTTATTTTACTTCAATTTCCACTTCTGGAAAATGGGGGGTAAGTGGGGGTTGGATTAACTGGACCTAGCTGGAGAGCTTATGTATGACCTGTGATTATCCAAAGTGGCAGCTGAGTGTCCAAGGTTCTACAATGTGCCTTTATTCAGAAGCATCAAGATGCTTTAAAGAAACCGAATTTTTGTATCTTGATGTGAAGCATGGGGATAGTATTGGCCAGCTTAGGACTGAAGAGGGTTTTAAAAGACATGGGGAAGAATACAAAGTGGCTCAGTTGTAGGCTGCATATGGGTACGTGTGTACGTGTGCCTTTGTGAGCTCAGGGAAAGAGTAATAAATTTGCAGCCAGGCTGTTATGTAGGCTAATGTATATAGCAACATCTCACTCTCTGAAATTGGGCAGAAGTGTTCTGAGCTGGAGGGGAAATGCTAGATTTGGAAAGGACTATTAATACCACAAGAGCACTTAAGTGAATATGGAATGACACGTCATGCTTTGGGCCAGGAATAGTTTCCTTTCACTGGGGGACAGAGGCTGAAAGGAGAGGTTCTTTCTAATAGAGAATGGGGGCTGTGTACTGATTTCCTTTCTCTTTGCTTTCTCTACCAAAACATGGCTGGTCAAGATTTGTGCTCAGCTCAGAGATGTGGGAATCCTAGTTATCTTTAGGTTTGGCCTTAGGACTAGGTGAGTGTTAGAAACCTAAGAGACATTATTTGACGGGTACTGAGTGGCAACCTCCCCCCTTTAAATATCTTTCCCTCTACTTCACTAACATGTAAAATTCTGTTCTTAGAGATTCATTCCTTTGAGTCTTGATGGCTTTTCAGTTTTCTGGAGTCATCTGTGGAAATAGTGATACTCCAATCCTCAGGAGAAGTAGCACCTTAACCCGTTATACCTTGGTAAGAATTAGTTGGCAGCCAGCTGAAAGTAAGATCTGAAAGAAATAAAGCATTTGGTGGTGATGAGGAGTACAGGAGGGCTGGGGAGTCAGGCAGGATTTAGTTTTGCTGTTAGGAGATTGTAAACTATGATTGCAGGGACCATGTCCCGTGTATATTTGTATCACGAAATCAAAGACTGTTAACATTGTCACAGGGGGCATCATCTGATACATTGTTACAGTTCAGGCATCATCTTGGGTAGGGGTTCTTAACCTTATTTTGTGTCATAGATTCCTTTGGTGGTCTGGTGAAAACTGTGGACCTTTTCTTAGAATATTTTTTTTCCTTAATAGTATTTTATTTTTCCAGTTACATGTAAAGATGGTTTTCAACTTTCATTTTTGTAAAATTTTGAGTTCCAACTTTTCTCCCTCCCTTCCTCCCCTCCCCCCTCCTCAACATATTTCCACATTAGGTTGTGAAAGAAGAATCAGAATAAAAGGGGAAAAAACCCACGGGAAAGAAAAAACAAAAAACAAAAAGTGAAACTAATATGTTTCCGTGTACATTCAGACTCCATAGTTCTTTCTCTGGATGTGGGTAGCATTTTCCATCGTGAGTCTTTTGGAGATGTCTTAGATCCTTGCATTGCTGAAAAGAGCTAAGTCTATCGATGTTAGTCATCGCACAAAGTAACTGTTACTGTATACAGTGTTCTGGTTCTGCTCACTTCATTCAGCATCAGTTCATGTAAGTCTTTCCAGGCTTTTCTGAAATCCACCTGTTCATCATTTCTTATAGCAAATAGTATTCCATTACTAGAATAATGTTTTTGAAAGCTCAAAATAAAATACATTGAATTACACAGGAAACTAAAGGTTAGTGAAAACAAAGCTCCTGTTTTTGTCGCATCCAAGGTCATGGATCTGAAACCCAAGTTGAGAACCTCCAATCTACTACAACCCCACTTCAATGAAAGATAAGGAAACTGAGGCCCTGAAAGAGCCCAAGATTAGAAGTAGTAAAGGTTGGGCAGGTAGGTAGCACCATTGTGCACAGAGCACTGGGCCTGGAGTCAGGAAGACCTGAGTTCAAATCAGACCTCAGATGCTTACTAGCTATATGACCCTGGGTAAGTCACTTCACCCTGTTTGTCTCAATTTCTTCATCTGTAAAATAATCTGGAGAAGGAAATGGCAAACCACTCCAGTATCTTTGCTGAGAAAACCCTAAGTAGGGTTATGAAGAGTTGAAAATGACTGAAACAACAATAACAAAGATAAGAGGCAGGCCTCCAGGGCCCTGGTCTTCTCACCCAAAGTCCAGACTTAGGAACTCTTGTCACTAGTCCGTGTTCTCCCTCAGGACTTAAAATAGAATGCATGGTGACTAGGAGATACTTTATATACTTGTTGAATGCATAAATGAATTTTAGGGATGAGAGGCATCCCCATATAAGGAACAGATTAGTTGGTATTGAGTCAAAAGATCTATTATGTTCAAGTCCCAAGACTGCCATTTACCAGCTGTGTAACTTTAGACAAGTTCCTTCCCTAGTCTGAGCCTCAGTTTCCTCATCTGTAAAATGGAGATGATAATACTTGAATGATATATTTCATAGAGTTGTGAGGAAAATGTTTTGCAAACCTTAAGACAATATGGGAATTCAAGCTACTTAAGCTGGGTTACCAAGCACTCTGCACTATGGACTGACAAATAGTAATGAACTTTCAGTTATGAACCTCATAATCAAGGAGTTAGTTATCCCTCCCATTAAGAGCATAGTTAAGTTTTGATGGAGGTGATCTACCTCTCCATGTATAATCCTTTAGGGAATAGTATGGAAGTAGGGTAGGAGGGCTCAAATAAGGGAAAAGTCTTTGGGGGCCTTTTTAAAAAATTTACATAGGCCTCAATACACTTGAGGGATAGAATGACCAGATACCTCAAGTCTGTGAGACTGATCTTATGTTGTCTCAGGGGGCATATAGCTCTGAGTAGAACCAACCAGCTGTGGTTTGCTGGAACTGTGGGACTGACAGACAGCTAGGATCACCAATCATTCCAATTATGCCCAAATACAGGAAGGATCTATGACTTCATCAGGGAAAGGGAACTCTCAATGTAAGAACTTTTTCCATCAATACAGATCACCACCCCATCACCTAGCGAATTGCTTGGGATAAAAAGAGGCAGCTAAGTGGCATGGTGGATGGAGTGCTGGGCTTAGAATCAGGAAGCCATGAGTTTATATTCTGTATCAGACACTTATTTATATATAACTCTGAGCAAGCCACTTAACCCTTCTCAACCTCAGTTTCCTTATCTGCAAAATGGCAGTGATAACAATAGTACCTCCCTCATAGGCCTATTGTGAGGATCAAATGAAATAAGATGTATAATGTGTTTTTCAGACATTGAAGCAATCTATAAATGATAGCTATTATTATGAAGGGACTTGCCCAGGTAGGATTTGAAGCCAGCCTTCCTGACTCTAAGGTCAGAAGTCTATCTAGCTCATTCCAATTATGTAGCTGCATAAATCATGAGAGCTGATCACTTAAACCAAAATTGTTGAATGAATGAGTGAATTTTGAAGGCAAAAGGCATCTTCATATAGTGACGGGATCACTTGATAGCAAGTCAGAGGATCTGTGGTATTCAAGTCCCAAGACTGATATTTACTAGCTACTTCACTTGAGACAAGTTACTTCTTGTCTAATTCTATCAGAATTCTGCTATTAAGTGTGCAAATATAGCCCAAGTGTTTTTTTTTTCTCTTACGCCTCTCTGCCTATCCAAATAACACCCATCCTTCAGGATCCAGCCTATTTGATCCCTGAAGCCTTCCTTCCATGAGTGCTCCAGCTTACACAGATCTCCCCCATAGCACTCCCTGCCTTCTTATAACACAGTTGTATAGCATCTTATATTGATGTCTAATTACTTCATATGTGGTGTGATCCTTGCTGGTCTTCGACTGTGACCCTCCATCCCCAGACTCTAGGTTTTCACTGGCTATCCCCTCATCTTCATCTCCTGTCTTCCTTCAAGTCCCAATTAAAATCAAACTTTCTACAGGATGGCTTTCCCAGACCCTCCAAATGCTAGTGCCTTCTCTTTGTTGATTACTTTCTCCTTTGTTGATTACTACTTTGTTGTTTACTTGATTAACTTGTTTGCATGTAGTTGGGTGTGTATTTCCTCCCCTATTAGACAGGAAGCACCTTGAGGGAAGGAACTGTGATGGTTTTTTTGTTTGTTTTTGTTTTTTTTGTCCACTTAGTATCCTTGCACTTAGCTTAGTGCTTGGAACATAATAGGTACTTAATAAATGTTATTGATCACTCTTTCCCCATTGTGAATGTAATAATTACTAATGACAGCTTATGTCACACTTTGAAGTTTATAAATTGTTTTATACAACAATTTCATTTCATCCTGTCAAAAACCCTAATGGGTAGTAGACGTATTACTATTCTTATTTCACAGATGAGGAAACTAGAGACTATGAATTGTCTAAGTCACACAACTAGTAAGTGGTAAGGTGGATATTTGAAGCCAGCCCTCTAGCTTGAGCTCCAGAGCTTTTCCTGCATTTCAGCTGCCTCACCTGGGGCAAGAACCCCATTTTATTCTTTCTAGTATCCCCTAGCATATGGCTGAGCATGCCATAAGTGCTTAATAGATGTTTAATGAATTCAAATATTCCAGTGACTCTTCCTCCCTACTTCCCTTCTTTCACTCATACCATTTCTTCTGCCAGAGTTAAAGAATAAATGAATAAGCATTTATTAAGTGCTTACTATGTGCCAAATGTGACTCCTCTTGCTTGGTTATAAAAACATAAAATCACATATCCAGAACAGAAGAGTTCTAGACTACCTAGTTGAACCCATTCATTTTACTGATAAAGAAACTGAAAGTCAGGGAGGTTGTGATGTGGCCAAGGACACAAGGTGGTAATCATCAGATGAAGAATTTGAACCTAGGCCCTCTGATTCCAGTTCTAGGGGCCCTTCCACTGAACCATGGCTGCCTCCTAAGGCTCTGTGGGGCAAGAACCATACTTTGTAGCTTCCTGGTGTTCCTGCAATGCCTAACATAGTTCTAAGGATATCATAAGTCTTTGATAAATACTTAATAAATTGACATTTTCCAATGTCCCTCCTTTCCTGATTTCTCTCTCTCTCTGTGGCCCTCCATTTTTTCTTTCTGGAGAAGTCATAGCATGATGCCTCTTGCTCCATCCCTAGTCTGGCCAAATTTCTATGTGTCCCCCTCCCAAGGGTGCTTTCGAAGATGTAACTTCCCTTTGTTCACACACCAGATGGCTTGACAGGGATCAGGACGACGGCCAGTTGATCCGGGAATTATTACCCAGTGGCAGCAGTGCAGCGTTAAAAAGTGAGTTGTCCCTAGGGGGCGAGGGGCACTTCTTTCTGAAAGGTTCCTGGGGAGGGGTATTGACTCCACTAAGTGGGAATCAGATGACTTCCCAGGCCAAAGAGGATCTGTGGCCTTTGAGAAGGAAGTGGAAGACAGGAGGGGGACAGAAGTCATTTTGGTTTCATTTACTGGGAAGCAGAGGGGGTCGGGGTGGGGGAGGAGTGAGGGGAAGCATTCTGAACTCCAAATTAGGAACTTGGGGTCTGGCCTGGACTCTGTTACTAGCTAGCCATGTCACAGAATAGAATGGAGAGAGAGTACGGATCAGGTTTGGGCTTACTTCACTAACGTCCGTAAGAGAGGGAAGATTTGGACTCTAAGCCCTACAACAGGAAAGAGTAACTTAAAAATGGGTTAAGTAAGGCTATGAATCTGAGGGTGACTTGCTTCTAGCCTAGCACATAATGGGTGCTTGATGCTCATCAAATAGTTGGTGAATTTTTTTTGTTTATTGGGGGGGGGCAAGGCAATGGGGTTAAGTGACATGCCCAGGATCACACAGCTAGTATCAAGTGTCTGAGGCCAGATTTGAACTCAGGTCCTCCTGACTCCAGGGCCAGTGCTCTATCCACTGTGCCTACCCTAGTTGGTGAATTTTAAAGAACTCGAAAGAGAGGAACCAGCCCAATATAGAGGGAAGGAAAGGGAAAGAGGAAACAAGCGTTTATTAAGCACTTGTTATGTGACTAGCACTTTGCTAAGTGCTTTACAAATATCTCATTTGAGCCTCACAACAAGGAGGTAGGTGCTATTATTACTCCCATTTTACAGCTGAAGAAACTGAGGTGAGCAGCAGTTAAGTAACTTGCCCAGGGTCACATAGTTAGTGAGAGTCTGAAGTTAAATTGAAGCTCAGCATTAGCTTAGGAGTCAGAGGACCTGGGATTGAGTGTTGACTGCTACTTAATAGCTTCAGGATAAGTTATTCAGCATCTATTGCCCTACCTATAAAAATCCAATAACTAGAAGGTTGCTGAGAGGAGATAATATATGGAAAGTATCATATGATGTGAGCTCTTCACTTGATCCTCAAAGCATCTGCCTCTGAAGAATGCAGAGGAGATAGTGTTCTAATTTTACATTCAGCCGGTCAATAAGCATTTATTAAGCACTTGTTGAATCATTTCAGTTATATGACCCCATTTGGGGTTTTCTTGGCAAAGATACTACAGTGGTTTGCCATTTCCCTCTCCAGCTCACGTTACAGATGAGGAATCTGAGGCAAACAGGGTTAAGCCCAGGGTCACACAGCTAGTAAGTGTTTGAACTCATGGAGATGAGTCTTCCTTATTAAGCACCTCCTGTGTGCCAAACACTATGCTAAGTACTGGAGATACAAAGAAAGATAAAACAGGGTTTAGGCTCTCCAGGGGCTCACATTCTAATGGAGTGACAACGTGCAGATAACTACATCTACATAAGATATATACAGTGTAAACGGGACATAATCTCAAGAAAGAAGAGTCTAACAATAAATGGTGGGGGTAGGGAGTAGGAAAGGCCTCTCATTTTACAGATAAGGAAACTGAGTTCCTGAGGGAGAAATGCCCAAGGCCAAACAGGACTCCTGGTTCCGATTCTTGTTCTCACTTTGCCACAGTGCATTGTGCCCTTGCCATAGGTGAGTGATGGCTCCTGGACCCCCTGAATCCTCAGCTGGGACCATGGAAGTTGGGTAGACAGAAGATGGAATTCTGAGGAGTCCATTTTCTTCCCAGGTTGGGCAAGTGTTTTCTAGGGAGAAGAATGAGGACACTTTCTAAAGGAGGCCTCTGGGCCTCTCGAGCAGCTGGCTAATTTGAGCTGTGCCCACGGGGCAGCACTTTGTGCTGGCAGCTGTCTCGGCCATTTTATTGGGTCCTAGTTTGGAAGACTGGCCCCCTGGGGAGCTCCATTTCCCTCTCGTTAGCTTCCAACAGGCAGGTGCTGGGGATGGCGATAAACTCCCAGAATTAGTCAGAATTAGTGTTACTTACTATTTTAGTGCCTCTGTCTTATTTTCTCACCAGCTATCCTCTTCCTGAAATCAACAGATGGGGCTTTAGGCCCAGGTTGGGGATAAGACTATTCCTTAAAAATGCATAATCACTCTGTTGCTCAGTGATGGTAATATTAGCATGGCATATACTTTTATTATGTAATATTTTATTGTAGAACATAAAATATATGTTATTGTATGCATTGTACAATACCAATATAATGACATTTAACTATTGAGAATTTAGCTATTTGGTAATCTCACCAATCTGAAATAGTTAAGCACTAGAAAAGGAAGACAGTAGGCATTTGAGTGAACAGGTATAAAGTGCAGTGGATAGAGGACCCAGCCTGGAGTCAGGGGTATCTGAGTTCAGATCTGGCCTCAGACACTTACTAGCTGAGTGACCTTGGGCAAGTCGCTTAATCTCTGTTTACCTCAGTTCTTCATATGTAAAATGGGGACACACTAGGGAAATGGTAAAATACTCCAATATTTTCCAAGAAAACACCATGGACAAAGTCCACAGGGTCACACAGAGTTGGACATGACTGAATGACTGAACAACAATAAGGTCTTTGAGTAGCCAAAAGTCGATGTTACAAAATCCAAGCACTAAAACTCATACATGTTCAAAGAGAGTCTTCCAGACCCTCATTCGCAGCCAATTTACTCTTAGTCTACAAACAGTTCTAACAGATGGGATAATCTGGTTTTCTGGCTATAGCAGATTAGAATGATGGGAAAGAGTCAGTGCAAACTGGAAGCAGCTATATTGACAGCTATGAGAAATAAAGCTGACAGTTTGGAGGAAGTAAAAAAAACCATAAAAAGGCATAAGAAGACAAGGAAGTATGAAGTATCAGAAAGATTTACATAAAATGGTTTTAAAGAGTTTTGGTGCTTGGTAGAATCATTAACTAACCAAAAAAAACACCTCATCTTCCAAAGGTTCTGGAAAGTGGAGGTTTGATTGGAATAACTGGCCTACATAGACAGATTTTTTTTTCCTTTTTTTTCTTTTTTCTTTATTTATTTTTTTCCATATGCTTTTGAGTTGAAAATTTTTCTCCCTTTACCTCCCCCCCCCCAAGACAGCGCACAATCTGATATAGGCTTTACATTTACATACCCATTAAACATATTTTCACATTAGTGAAGTTGTAAGTAAAAATTAAAACCAATAGGAGGAACCATCAGAAAGATGAAACAAAACTCAACAGAAGGTAAAAATAAGTGATAGCGATTCGACCTCCATAGTTCTTTCTTTGGATGTGGACAGCATTTTCCATCCCGAGGCCTCTGGAGATGTCTTAGATCCCAGTAATGCTGAGAAGGGTTCATTTTAACAATATTAGTCATCCTATAATGTGGCTGTTATTGTGTACAAAGTCCTCTTGGTTCTGCTCACTTCACTCGGCATCAGACCATATAAGTCTTTCCAGGTTTTTCTGAAGTCAGCCTGTTCATCATTTCTTATAGCACAATAGTATTCCACTACATTCATATGCCACAACTTGCTCAGTCATTCCCCAATTGATGAGTATCCTCTCAATTTCCAATTCTTTGCTACCACAAAAAGAGCTGCTATGAATATTTTTGCACATGTGGGTCCTTTTCCCATTTGTTTGATCTCTTTGGGATATAGCCCTAGAAGTGCTATTGATGGATCAAAGGGTATGCACATTTTTGTAGCCCTTTGGGCATAGTTTCAAATTGTTCTCCCAAATGGTTGGATCATTTCACAACTCCACCAACTTTTTTTTTCCTTTTCAAAACACTTTCACATCTACAATCTAATTTTACTTTTATAATAATCCTATGAAGTAGGTAAAGCAGGTTTCTTCATTTTGTAGATGAGGAAACTGAGGCCCAGAGGCATAGTCTAAAGAGCATTAGACTCTGAACAGAACTAGAGTTAAGTCTTGGCTTTGCCAGTTCCCGTTTGGATAATCTTTGGTAACCCACTTCCCCTCTCATCGTAACCATTTCCCCTTTGTTTGCTTGTCTACAAAAGGAAGAGGGTGAATTGGGACTCTCTAGGGTCACTTCCAGTTTTCATATCTCATGATTCTAAGAAATGAAGGCAGTCACCTAAGGTCTTAAAGATAGTTAACACAAGAAGCTCCATTAGAACTTAGGTCTCCTGACTTAAAGTCTAGTGATTTCTCTCTCCTACAGCTTGGTCAAGCCTTCTGGTTATAAGAGTACCTGTGGAGTACAACAGGAGATACACAAGAATCATGCTTTCCATCTGTTCTCTGCACTAATGCCCTCTCTCTTGTGCTCATAGACTTCCGCTATCACATCAGCATAAAAACAGGAGATGTCGGAGGTGCTAGCACTGACTCTAAAGTCTACATTAAACTTTATGGAGAGAAGAGAGACACCATCAAGCAGATCCTCCAGGTCTCTGATAATAACCTGAGTGACCATTTTGAGCGTAGCCGAGTTGACGAATTCACCCTTGAGACTACGGACATTGGAGAGGTAAGTCTTCTTCCTAGGCCTATGTACTGATATGACATTTAGCCTTCCTCACACCGTTCTTGTCCTGCCCAACACATATACATCAATTCTGAAGATGGATAATATCTGTGACAGTTTACTTTTATGCTGTTGTTCAGTTATTTCAGTCATGTCTGACTTTTCGTGACCCCATTTGGAGTTTTTTTGGCAAAGATACTGGAGTGACTTGTCATTTCCTTCTCCAGGTCATTTTACAGATAAGGAAACTGAGGCCAACAAGGTTAAGTGACTTTCCCAAGGTCACACAGCTAGTAAGTGTCTGACGTCAATCTGAACTCAGTAAAGTGGGTCTTCCTGATCCCAAGCCATGAACTCTATCCACTGCGCCACCTAGTTGCTGTCTTACTTTTACAGAAAACTTCAAAGTTTGCCATGAGTACAATTATCTCTTCCACATCAAGGGGGTTGGGGTAAGGTGCCCCCACAATCTGGAAAACCCACATAAAAGTTTTTGGTCCTCCCTTCAAACCAGAGAGCAGTCTGAATTATTATGGTATTAAAAGAGAAAATATGTTGATACTACATAATACTATACATATATTTTATGCATGTCTGAGTTTCTAAACTTTTTCTGCGTCATTTGTTGGCCTTTGCATGTCATCTGCGGCTCCTGCAAAACTCCAAAAAAATTCCCATTTAATTTCTTATGCCAACCCATGATATATTGAAACCACAATGGGGAAAGTGAGTGTGGAAGGGATAACTGTATTCCCTACACGAATCCCACTTGATGCTCATGATCACTCTTCAAGGGAGATAGTGCAACTGTTATATCATCTCCATTTTACAGATGAAGAAATAGATGCAGAAGGGGTAATGACTTGCCCATAGTCAGAGGCAGGACTCAAATCCAGACCTTCGGAGTCAGAACCCGGTGTAATTTCCACTTGCATTGCGCCCCTGCCCCTTCTGCCCCACAATCTGGAAATCTCTGTCCCTAGCTTCCTAACAGGAGTCTGTTTTGGTAACAGTATCAAACTTTCTGAACATCAGACTAGAGCGCTGGAAGAGCTGGGCACAGTGGTGAATTAACCACCCTGATCCAGACTTTGGTGCCGGGGGAAAGCATGAGGTAGCCGTATGATACTTAGTTTACCTTATCTGTGATGAGTCAGGAGCAGTGTTCCCAGCTCCTGGATCCCAGAAGGCTATTTTGAGAAGGGGCGTTGAGGTGCCAGGGGAGATGATGTGAGGAGACCAAAGGGATTGCTCAGCATACTGAAAGGGAAGGCAGAGAAGGACTGAACGTGTGTGGCCTGCTCCATAATTTTGTGGACAGGCAGCTTTGGTTAAATCTTCCTCCTGGACTTTAGGCTGTCCTCTGAAAAGGCCTAGGACTATCTTTTCTATCCCATCTGGTCCTGCGCTCAGGCCGAGACTCAGAGAATCATAGATGGAGAGTGAAAAAGGACCTTGGAGGTCATCTAACATCTTCATTTCACCGATGAGACTTTGAGGCTGAGAGATGTTAAATGACTTGCTTAAGTTCATATAAATAATAAGCATCAGAGTCAGGACTTGATCTCCAGGCCCCTGCTTCCAAAGCTACTTCTCTTTCCCCAGTACTGTGCAACTTCTTACTACTGTGCTACTACTTCAAACGCCCAACACCCTTCTCGCTCTTTTCCCCTCCAATTAAATTTGTCTTTCTAGAATGTCTCCATGACAGAGTCATACTTTGCACTTTCTCTCTCACTGTAGAATGACAGGCTTTGTTCCAAGTGCAAGGTTTGTGGTAGTAAATGGCTAGGGCAGTCCATGGACCCAAATTACTGTCTCGAGCCTCTGAACGCACACCACACAAACAGTAGCTTCCAACTGTGCCCCTGGGCAAGAATGGCAATGACCTGACTCATTGGGTCCAAGCCCTCCCAGGAGTGAAGGCTACTAGGTGGAGGGTTAGGGAGCCCAGAGACTCATTCATTAGGGGTAGTCTGGGACCTGCCAAATCCCTTCCTGCTCCCCCCTTTTGGGTGTCTCATGACCTCAGCGAGGCTAACCGCATTTCTGAGGCCGGTGCCAAAAGGTGTAACTCAGAGCAGTATCTGAGAGGCTCCCTCTCCTGTCTCCTCAGATGCCAAATGTAATTTTGTGGCTGGATGTAGGAATGTCACTGCTGAGTGGGTGGTCCCTGAGAACTCCCTGAGAGGGAGTAGAGGGGCTGTAGAGAATGTTCTGACCTCAGAATCATGAAACTGAAGCTCCAGCCTAATTCTGCTGCTAACTAGCTGCATGGCAAGTACCTTAAAGGCAACTAATGGGGCAGCTACACGGTGCAGTAGGGGCAGCTAGGAGGTGCAGTGGATAGAGCACTGGCCCTGAAGTCAGGAGGACCTAAGTTCAAATTCAGACTCAGACCAAACACTTAACACTTACTAGCTGTGTGACCCTAGGCAAGTCACTTAACCCCGATTGCCTAAAAAAAAAAACAAACAAAAAAAGGCAACGAACCTCAGTTTCCTTTTTGGTAAAATGAGAAGGTCTCTGTACTGTCCAAAATGTCTTCCAGAGCTTGCCTTCTGCTCCTTAGCAGAGAGGTGATAGAGATGCTGAATGAGACATACGGTTTCATATATGGCCAATATGTTGACTTTTTTTCCCCTCGACTATTTGTTATAAGGGAGGGCTTCTATTTAGGGAAAGGTGAGTTAGTGGGTAGTTTTAGAGATGCGAAAGAAAAGAAATTAAAGGATATCAATAATGCATTTTAACATACACTGAAGGAATCAGAAATCCAGAAAAATAGGGCAATTTTGATGCTCCTTTGTTAAATTTAATAATACTTCAAGAAAACCCACCAAATTGTATGTGACAATTTATAATTTCAGATGCTCCCCTCCTTTTTTATTCTTCTTTGTCGACTGAATGTATTTGGTTTTGTTGAAGATTGTAAGTTTATAATAGAAGAAAAATAAAAACCCAAACTAGGGTGCCTTCCAGCTTAAACATTCAGTGGTTCTATAAAGTGGGCCTCACCAGCTCTTGTCCCTACACTTAGCCCTGAGTTTTCTTCCAGATCAACCGGCTTATCATCGGCCATGACAGCACAGGTATGAGAGCAGGCTGGTTTTTGGGCAGCATTCAGATTCGTGTACCCCGCCAAGGCAAGAAGTACACATTCCCTGTCAATCGCTGGCTGGACAAGAATGCAGCTGATGGGCGCACAGAAGTGGAGTTGTACCCCAGCGAGGTGGAGGAGATTGAGAAATGTAAGCAAATAGGAGGTCTGGTTTTTTTGCTCAATAGGAAAGGAAGAAGATCATTGTATTGGTCCACATCCTTAAGAAAAGGTCCTATGTAGAGGTCATATCTGTAAGGAAGTCTATTTGGCTCTCACATAGACCATCTGTGAGAGACGGAACATAGGATAGTGTCCTCATTCCGCAGACAGGGAAGTCAAGGCCTGCATAGGTGAAATAGTTTACATAAAAGGCAGATGATGGCTGACATGATGTGAAGAGGCACCATCAATTAGTCAGTCAATCTATAAATATTTATTGATCACTTATGGTTCCCTCAAAACTGTTTTAGATATTATAAGAAATACAAAAGAAGGCAGGATAGTATTCACCTTCACAATCCACAACCAAACCCAGGGAATAACCAGCCTAGTTCAATCCCTTATTGCCTCATACCCGGATTCTTGCAACAGCCTCCTAAATGGTCTCCTTGCCTCCATCCTCTTTCCCTTTCGATATATTGAGTATTTCATGGCCAGATCGATTTAATTGAAACAGCGAAATATAAATCCTTTCCTCAATGCTTCATTTCCACAATCACCCTAAATATTTAGCCTTGTCTTCAATTATTCTTTTTCTCAATTGTCTGTTCCAGGCAAACTGAGGCCTGTACTATGGAATTTTCATAGTTTTTCTCTGACAATTCTGTTCACCTAGAGTGTCATCCCCCCTCCTGCTTAGCCAAGGCCTTCCCAGTGGAAACCTACTATGACACCAACAGTTGTTGATTAACAGGCAGATTCAAAACTATGATCTGTTGCAATTGTCTTCATTTTATAAAACTGTAGTACCTCTAAAATGTTATTTGATTAAAGTGAGTTTTTTATTGCATTTGTAAGACTTAGTATCAACAGAAAGCAACTTAATAGTGATTCAGTAGAAGTGGTAAATCTATCCATTGTGGAAAACAAAACAAAACAAAACAAATCTCATTCGGGCTTAAGGTCCAGCTCAGATGACATCTCTACTGTTCCTCCTTCTCTGCCTCACTGATCATGCCTTCTCAAATCCTAGAGCACTTTCTGTCAATCGAGAAACATTTATTAGTACACTCTATCACAGTCTGGGGACTTGGTTATCTTCTCATATGTGAATCTGTTCTTTCCTCCCAAACTAGGCTGTAAACTCCATGACCCACCTGGTCTTATTCTTCTCTGTGTCCCCCACAGAGGCTAGCACAAGGCTGGACACATAGCAGCTGCTCAGTGAATAGCTGTCTGTGGATTGACTGCTTGTCCTCTGGAGTCCTGGTCACCCTAGAGGGTGAAAGTTCCCTCTCTAGAGCAGGGTTTCCTTCTCCCTAAACTTTTGTCTCCCTCCTTCGGCTCTGGCTTAGTGATCCATTATGAGGTGGATATTGTGACCGGAGATACGGGCAATGCAAGCACCAGCGCCCGGGTCTACATGCAGATCTACGGGGAGGCAGGCAAGACTGAAGTGCTCTTTCTCAAAAGCCGTTCAAAAGTCTTTCAGCGGGGAAACAAGGACACCTTTCAGGTATGCATTGTAGAGGGGAAGCAGGGTGCACGGGCGATAGATCTGATGCCAGGACCAGTTGAGTCCTCAGAGAGCCTGGGATGGACTTGCTGGGGGTTGTCTAGCCCACCTCAGTCCAGACACCTTGGTTCATTTTGTAAGGTCACTGCCTAAGGTATCAGTGGGGACATGAGTCCTTTAGAGCACTGGGGGGGGGGGGTTTCTCTCATAGGTCTACCAGGGACCCATTTCCCAGCCAAGGCTTAGGGTCATATGTCATGGTAGTCTTCTCACTCCCCTTTACTAATTTTTGTATAGATTTATGCAGGGGAATGGCGTGTGTGTGTGTATGTGTGTGTGTGTGTGTGTGTGAGAGAGAGAGAGAGAGAGAGAGAGAGAGAGAGAGAGAGAGAGAGAGAGAGAGAGAGAGAGGAAGACAGACAGACAGACAGACAGACAGACTTTGGAGAATATGGGAAGAAGAAGGGCTGGTATATATATATATGTATATATATATATACATATATATGCATCTATATGTATGTATACACACACACACACACACACACACACACACACACACATATATATATATATGTATGTATATACACACACACACACACACACATATATATTATATATATATATATACATATATATATATATATATATATACACACACACACATACATGCCATGTGTACATGCCTGCACTTTCCTACGTGCACACGTATAGTGTAAGATAATATTTATGTAGTACTTAACATAGTTCCTGGAACATAATAGGCACTACGTAAATACTAGCTATTATCATCATTATTATTGATTATGTGATAATGTACATGTATGGAGACTCATTGTACTATGTTGTTTAGTTATATGTAGAGATGACTCCATACACTGTATGCTTATTCTTGCTGTGGCTGGAGTGGGTAGTATGGGGAGATAGATGTGGGGTCTAGGATGAGGGTTATGAATCCTGACACTAACACGGCCTTGAAAAAGTGCACGATCAAGGGTGCTACAGAACTAATTTGCTAAGAAGTCCCTTATTGGCTCAAAAGAGTAAATTCGTTTTCCCCAAGGGCTTCAACCCTGTCTCTTAGGTCATAATTTTCATATGGGGAGAGTCTCTGTTTCTGTATTGGTACATATATACATACATATGTCATATAGAAAGATATATACATATATGCATATTCATGTCACATAGAAAAATATGTAACATCTAAACTATACAGCATACATACACATGTGTGTATGTATGTATATAGAGTATGCTAGAAAGAACCTTAGGATGGTAGTTTCTGGCTTCTAATTCCAGCTCTGACATTGTGTGACCTCTTAGTTTCAGTTTCCTCTTCTGTGAAATGGGCACAAATGATTACTTACTACTTGCCTCCAGAATCCATTGAGAGAAGTTTTAAAAATGCTTTGAAAAGTTAAAAGAAGCATATAAATTCAATTATTATTATTGTTATGATGTTATTATTGTTAAGAGGAGTGTGGTATATGAAAGCCATGAAATTATTATCATTATTATTATTACTATTGCTAGATTAAGAGGATATGGTATGTGAAGGCCAGGAAATAATTCTTCCTCATTATTAATCAGGCCTTATTTGAATATAGTGACTAATGTGGCCAACCACATATTAAATAGGATGCTTTTGAGCGACAATGTGTCACAAATATGACATTAGAGCTAGATGACAGAGCCTATGAGAAAGTGCCAAGACAATGCATTGATGACCTCCTACGACTTTGGCCCTAGAGCAGCCATTGGAGGCTTCAAGAGAAAAGAATTGACTTTGCCTTGCTCACAGAGTATTTGGGGAGATAAATCCAATAAATGTGAAATAATTATGAACTACAGAAGATACCATGGAATCAAGTAGCAAACATTCCAATTCAGACTCTAGCCTCTCAAAAGTTAGAAGAGGGAGAACAGAGGCTGGAGTTACGAGATGAGAGGGCACAGGCTTTGAAGGGATCTTGGAGATCATTCTGGTCCAGCCTCCTGACCTCTCAGGTAGGGACAGTGAAGTGGTGAGATGACTTGCCTCTGGCCACGTAGATAGCAAATGGTAGAGCCAGGATGTGAAACTATGTCATAACATCAAAGGATCATCGAACTATAGCTGGAAAGGATCTCAAAGACTACCTGGTCCAGCCCTCTGATTTTAATGATGAGGAAACTGAGATCTGAGAAAGTCAAGTGACTTGCTCAAGGTCACATAGGCAGTAACCATTGGAGTGGGGATTTGAACCCAGGTCAAATGAATTAACATATGTAAAGCACTTTTAAAAACCTCAAAATATTGTAGTATAAAATGCCAGCTAGCTAGCTAAGTCTAGGTAGGTCCTCTGAAACCCTAGCCAGTGTTATTTCTGTGGTGCCATGCTTCTTAGAGCAATCTTTCTGCTCCACCATATCATCAGGGAAGGCTTCAAAGAGGAGATGGGGATTGAGCTGACCCTTGAAGGATGGGGAGGATTTCTGGAGGAGAAGGAAGAAGCAGACCTTGAACATGACAGAAGTGAGGAGAGAAGAAAAAGAGTTTGGCATAAGTACAGGACAATAGGAGACCAACTTGCTTAGAGTAGAGGATTTCTGTAGTGGGAGAAAAGATAAATGAGGTAAGGACAAATTTATGGTAGACCTCAAAAGGCAGCCTTGAAGCCTCATACACGATGTGCTTGGCAATGACTGATTTCGAGATTTAGAGGTTCCTTCTAGACCTCGTTCCTTATGATCGTATGCCTGAGTTTGAGCTGGATTGGGGACCCTAGGGCCTATTCTTGTTGGGGGAAGGGGAAGGAGGGTGGCAGGCATTTCCCAAGGCACTGACCTGTGCTTTGGCAACAGCTGGAGGCAGCAGATGTGGGTGAGATCTTCAAGATCCGAGTGGGCCACACGGGCGAGGGTTTCGGGTCTGGCTGGTTCGTGGACACAGTGGAGCTGAGACGGCTGGTGCTGCAGGATGTGGAAATCACCCCAGAGGAGGAAGCCCAGAAAAAGAAGGAGAAGGACAAATTGAGACAGCTGTTGAGGAAGGAGAGGCTTAAGGCCAAGGAGCAGAGGAAGAGGAAAAAGAAGAGTAGCGACGTGGAGTCTGAGGAAGAGGAGTCCTCGTCAGAGGAGGAATCTTCAGAGGAATCAGAAGGGGAGACTGAGATTGAGGAGGAAGAGGAGGAATCAGAGGGCATGCAGGAAGTAGTTGATGTCTACAAGTTCCAAGCCAATCGATGGCTGGCCACCGATGAGGAGGATAAAGAGCTTGTCATGGAACTGGCCCCATCTGGAAGATCAGGTCCTGAGTGTAAGCCTGAGACAGGGTCGAACAACCTCCCTGGAATTGATCAGGCACATATTTGTGATACTGGGTTGTGGACCCAGGCTTCAAAAGGGCAAGACTCACTTGGTTCATCCCATGACTGCCCCTACATGTAGATAGAATCAGCAGTCACCCACAGGTGTCACAAATATCTCTCTCACCCGGGTGGCCCAGTGCCTGAAATTCCACCATTAGTAATTTAGTCTTTGAGATTAAGCATTTTTCACTCTCTGCAGTCCTCTTGACACCCTTGGAAAGGGTAATAAACTACCCTAGCATACGAGGGTGAATGAGTTTATGAGATCAGATTTTTTGTTCCCCAGGAAGGACTCAGGGTAACATGAGTCTATTGAGTGCCTGGGTGTGGGAGGTGGGGTTGAGGAAGGGGTTGTAGGAGGTAGTCAAGAGAGGTAAGAACACTGAGAGACTAGGATATTATTTAGAAATAAGACGTAAGACATTCCAAAGACAAACTTCACTGGCCAAGTCTCTCCTAGTACCCTTGAACTTCTTGGAAAGGGTAGGAATTGGGGGAGTGGGAGAAGGATAATTCTGGGTCTGGGAGACAGCCTAGGGAAGCCAGTTTTGGCCCTGGTCTTAGAGGCCTTACCCCTGACCTTTGAAAACCCAGCATGCTGACAGCCATCTGTTTTCCTTGGCATGGGCTTAGTTTCTCAGGGTTGGGCTCAGGCCTTGGTTTCCTAAATCTGATCTTTTGTGCCCACAGCCAATACCTATGAGGTCCAGGTGATCACAGGGAAGATGCCCAAAGGTGGCACTGATGCCAATGTCTACCTGAACATCTATGGTGAGGCGTATGGTGATACTGGGGAGCGAGCTTTAAGAAAATCAGACAAATCAAATAAGTTTGAACGAGGACAGGTAATGACAACAACAATAACAATTTATTTCTACGGTGCTCTACATACATTCCATGCAACAAATTTAAACAGAGATGTAAAGTTTACCAAGCATAGACCTTAGAGGCCATTGAATCCAACCGTCTCATTTTACAAATGAGGAAACTGAGGCACGGTAGGATTAAGTGACTTGTCCAGGGTTACTCAGCTAGTAAGCGAATGAATGAATGAATGAATGAATGAATGAATGAAAAAAACATTAATTAACACTTATTATACACAAAACACTACTGGAATGTGTTGGAATCAGGAATAATGATATGAAAATGGCAGAAGAGTACAGACTCTTCTGTCTAAGCCCTAAACCTGTCTTTGCATTCCTTTTGGAGGCATGAAGCAGCCAGCTTGAAAACTTGGGATTAATACTCATTCTATGTAACCTGTAGCACTGTTGTGAAGATTGAATCATTATGATTATCAAATGTTGATTATCACCACAAAGCTGTGGTTCCCTACTAGTATACTGAATTCCCAGTAAGGAGTGTCTTTCTGTGCCAACAACTTCTCTTTGACCTATAGTCTTAGAGCATTATCTGGGTCACTGAGAGTTGTAACGTTCTCAGGCTCACACAAGCCAGTGTGTGTCAGCGACAAGGCTAGAACTCTGGTTTTCTTTACTCTGAGGCTCAGTCTCTATCTACTACAATCCAGCTGTTTCTCTGAGGATGGTCATATGCAAAATAATTTTTTTAAAAAATCAATCCCATTTATAAACCTTTTTAGGGTTTGATAAAGACTTTACATGTTACATTATCTAATCCTCGCAACATGTTGAGAGGGAGTGTGGGACAGTAAATAGAGTATTGGACTTGGAGTCAAGAGGACTAGGGCTTAATTCTACAGCAGACATACTAGCTATATAACCCTGAGCAAGTGACTTAATCCCTCTGTGCCTTTGTTGCTTTTCAGTCATTTTTAGTCATGTCCGACTCTTCATGACCCCACTGGGGGTTTCTTAGCAAAGATACTGGAGTGGTTTGCCATTTTCTTTTCCAACACATTTTACAGATGAGGAAACTGAGGCCAATAGGGTTAAGTGACTTGCCCAGGGTCACACAGCTAGTAGAAGTCTGAGGCCGGATTTGAGCTCATGAAGATGAGTCTCCCTTACTCCCCGCCCAGCACTCTATGCATTGTGGCTCCACCTCACCAGCCATGTCTTAGTTTCTTCATTTGTAAAATAAGGAGGTTGAACTCAATGGCTTCTAATGCCCTTCTAGGTCTAGATCTCTTGCCTCTTGGATCAAGTATAAGTGCCTGTACTTGGCATTTAAAACCCTTCACAGTCTGGCTGCTGGCCTTGTTGCTGTTCTTCAGAATCCTTGGTTCCCCTCAAGATTCAGTTCAAGTGCTCCCTTCTACATCAGGTCTCTCTCAGTCCCTTCTGCTGTCAATGTTAATCCCCCTAATCATCTTGTATTTGTTTTATATATACAGCTGATGCTCATTCCTGGGTTCTGTATTTGGGAATTTGCTTACTCACTCAGATTTTTTGTAAACCCCTTCCCCCCAATCAATACTCAGGACACTTTGAGAATCATTCCCAGACACGTGCAGTGTCTGAGTCAATCAATGTTCACATTCCCAGCTGAGGTGAAACAAAGCAATGTTCTGCCTGTGTGTTTCTACTCCCACACTGTAAACAAGTGTCCTTTACACGGCATATTTAGTGCCACATTTTTCGAATTTTCGTGCTTTTTGTTGGTGATTTCACCGTTTAAATGGCCCCCCAGCGTAGTGATGAAATGATATCTAGCATTCCCAAGCACAAGAAGGCGGTGATGTGCCTTATGGAGAAAATATGTGTGTTAGATAAGCTTCAGTCGGGCATGAGTTGTAGTGCTGTTCGCTGGGAGTTCAATGTTAATGAATCGATGATGTGGTACATCCAGAAAAAGGAAGAGGAAATTCGCTAATCTATATGTGAGGCCTCTCTGGAAAGTGTTAAATTAAATGTTGTGACCATAGGCTTACAGGAACCTAACCCCTGGAAACAAATACTTTGGTATTCATCAATTCATCGTTCATAATGACTTTATCCATCATTTTTGTTGTTCAGTCATTTCAGTCGTTTCTGACTCTTTGTGACCCCATTTGAAGTTTTCTTGGCAAAGATACTGGAATGGTTTCCCATTGCCTTCTTTAGCTCATTTTACAGATGAAGGAACTGAGGCCAACAGGGTTAAATGACTTGCCTAGGGTCACACAGCTAGTAAGCATCTGAGTAAGTATCGATTTGAACTCAGGAAGATAAGTGCTAGACTTGAAGTCTAGCACTCTAACCACTGTGCCATTTAGCTGCCCTGTGTACCCATACAAGTAAGTGTTATCACCTCCCTTAGAATGTAAGCTCCTTGAGTGCAGGGACTGGTTTTGTTTTTTTTTTTTTTGCTTTTGCTTTATTTTTAATGTCCAATACCTAACATGATTTCTGGCTTGTAGTAAATGCTTGACAAATGTTTGCTGATTGATTTCATTGTTTGCCATTGACTGTATGCTCCTGCAGGGTAGGGAGCTTAAGGTTTTTGTCCTTTTGTCTTCTCATTTCCTGGAGTAGTACCTGCATTGTACATGGTAACTACCTGTTTGTTGTTGATTATGATGCTTTCTTTTGGACCAAATCTGTGGTTCTCTATTGGTATATTGCATTCCCAGTGAAGAAACTCCCTCTGTGCAAGTCAGCAACTCCTCTATGCTCTATTAGAGCATTGTCTGGGTCACTGAGAGCTGAAACGTTCTCAGTCTCAAACAAATCAGTGTGTGTCAGAGACAAGACTAGAAACCAGGTTGTCTTTACTCTCAGGCTCAGTCTCTATCTGCTATAACCCAGCTGCCTCTCTGAGGATGATCATATGCAAAATAATTTTTAAAAATCATTCCTATTTATAAATCTTTTCAGAGTTTGATAAAGGCTTTATGTATTACCTTATCTGATCCTTGCAACATATCTGGGTGAGAGGTGTTGTTATTCCCACTTTACAGGTGCAAAAACCGAGACAGGTTAATCGGCTTGCTTACGGTCACTTAGCTAGTGGCTGACACAGGATTGTAGCTGAATTCCTCTTAATTCCATGCCCAGCTTTTTATCTACTATGCCATGTCAAACACAGACAGACATGGATGTATAACCCATGTGTATACCCTTCTTAGTCTTCCTCCCTCATGCATCCTCTTTCATTGGCAAATAGGAGTGAGAAGGCATCGAATTTCATGGCACGCCTAAGCTGCTGAGTAGCTATGCCATACAGCTGATTGGCTAACTGGATGTTCTGCGTTGATTGTTTGTGATTGTTTAGTGTTCCAAAAAAAAACCCAATAGTAGTCTTGAGCTTCCTCTAGAAAAAGGTTAGAATTATAGGACTTGCTGCCTTCTGAATGCCGTGTCCTCGCCCTCCACAGACAGACACCTTCGTCATCCATGCCATTGACCTGGGACCCCTGAAGAAGATTAGGATTCGTCATGATAATTCTGGCAATGCCTCTGGCTGGTTCCTTGATCGAGTGGATATCACTGACCAAAATAATGAAACCACGTGAGTAGTGGGGCTGGCTAACTCACAGCTGAATGGCCAAGGACGAGGCAAATTTTGTCCTGTGTATATGTTCCATTGTCTTAGGTGATCACCCCCAAATACCTCCCTACTCCACCACTTTGTCAACAGTGATGCTCTTGAGTATAGACAACAACCTGCATTCTGTGATTCCAAGGGCACAGGTGAAGGACCCCCTTGTTCTAACTTAGTATGAATTCTGCAGCAAAGCAATCCTTAGACTTTGAACCTTAGTCATTTGGCTTCAAGTACAGTCAAAGGATGGTTTATGTGAAGAAAGGTGTGTCAGAATTGGGGAGGTACAATGTCACAGAAGATTCTTAGGTATTAAAGCTGGCCACTTTCTCCTCCTTCACCCCTGTGCCTCACTCATTACCAAGGTTAACACCTCTACTTGTTCAAGTGATGCTATTCATCCTATCTCCTCCAATAGATTGCCCCCTCTGTCATCCCCTCTCTCACTTATCTGCAATTTCTCCCTCTCTTATTTCTGCCTACAAACATACCCATGCCTCCCCTATCCTGAAAAAAAAAACCTCACTTTATCCTTCCATCCCCACTAACTATTGTCCCACATCTGCCCTTTGCAGCTAAAATCTTAAAAAATGGTACAACAGATGCCTCCACTTTCTCTCTTCTCATTCTCTCCTCTTAATAATACCTTGCAATCTGGCTCCTGAATTATTGTTCTACTGAAACTGCTCTCTCCAAAGTTGCTAATGATTGCCTAGTTGCCAAATCCAATGGCCTTTGCTCAATCCTTATCCTCCTTGGCCTCTCTGCAGCCTTTGACACAGTTGATCACTCTCTTGACTTGGAGACTCTCTTCTCTCTAGGTTTTCAGGACACCTCTGTCTCCTGGTTCTCCTCCTACTTATCTGACTATTCTTACTCTATCTCTTTTGCTGGATCTTCCTCCAGATCACTCCCTCTAACTGCAGGTGTCCCTAAGGGTTCTGTCCTGGGCCCTCTTCTCCTCCTATACTATTTCACTTGGCTCATCAGCTCCCATGGATTTAATTACCACCTCTATGCTAATGATTCTCAGATCTGCCTTTTCTGCCTCAACCTTTCTGCTGACCTCCAATCTTGCAACTCCAAACTGCTTCTCAGATGTTTCGAACTAGATGTCTAGTAGATCTTAAACTCAATATATCCAAAACAGAACTCACTTTATTTTCCCCAAATCCTCCCCCATTCCTGCCTTCTCTATTACTGTAGAGGTCAACACCATCCTTCCAATCCTTCAGGATTTATATATGGCGCCTAGCTGCCTAATCATTATAATAAGATTATTATTTTTTTCAGCCATGAATTTCTTTTGTGACATTGATCAGTCATTTCCCCTCTCTAGGTCTTTCTTTACTCACCTGTAAAAGGAGGCAGGGCAGCATGGTGCAGTGGAGAAAATATAGGGTTTATAGTTAGAGCACTTCAGGTTGAATCTCAGCTCCACCACTGTGTCCTCTAGTTCTGGGCCTTACCTCTCTGGATCTTAGTTGCCTCATCTGTGAAATGAAAGGTTTGGACTCCATAACCTTTGAAGTCCCTTCCAGCTATAGTGTAGGCATCTGATCGTGGACATTCCATGATCCTTCCCGCTGTGGTCATGTTTTAAGTTGGACCCTCTAGAAGATCCAAAGGCATTGGGATTATTTCTCTAAGGGATTTCAAGCCTCATGATAGTCATGGCCACAAATATTTGGGGGTGATAGAATCTTTTCAGAACCCTTCAAACAATTTCATGACCTCATGAAACAGATCCTGACTTTAATTGGAATGGGGTACTCATTCTAGAAGCAAAGTAGACACTCCAGTAAGTTAGGCTAATTTTTTGACTTAGCACAATTTAAATGCAGAATTAATTGTAAACCTAAGTCCCAACATGGTGTGGTGAAAAGAGTACTGAATTTGGAATTGGAATGTTCTCCTTACCGCTTTGTGACCTTGGGCTGATCACTTCCTCTTCTATGGGCTTGAGTTTTCCCCACTAGAAAATGAAGGCATGTACCTAGATGATCTGTCCCTTCTAGATGTGAGATCTTTTCTAGTTCTGATGTTCAGTCTATGATTTAAGGATTCCACAGGCAAGATTCACCCCGCCCTCCACCTAATCTTCAGTTAACCATTAAATTATCTAGCCCCAACACTGAGGCACCTCTCTGGAGAATGTATCTTCTCTCCCTCCAATGGCTTAGCTTTTTTCTACTTCATCTCCTAAGACCCAAGCACTGTAATCTGGTAACTAGTAATAAATCACATTTATGTAGCATTTTACAGCATACAAAGCCCATTCATACCCTGTATATAATTTGTTCCTGACTACAGCTATAGAAATAGCATAAGTGTTATAACTTCCATTTGATATACAGGGGGAAAAGGCTCAGAGAAATATAATAATAATAGTAACAATAACAATTAGCATTGATATGGTACTCTAAGATTTGAAATACATTTTACAAATATTATCTCATTTTATCCCCACCATAACCCAGGAAGATAAGTGCTATTACTATTTTTATTTTACAATAATAATATTATTTTACTGATGAAGAAATTGAGGCAAGGCAGAGATGAAGTGGCTTTGTCTAGGCTCACACAATGAGTGTGTAAGGCTGGATTTAAACTCAGGGCTTCCTGACTCCAGGCTGAGAGCTCCATCTACATTACCTAGTTGCCAAAAAGTGACTTGTCTAACATTATTCAAAGGACTAGAACTCAAGAATACCACTAACGACCAAGCTCTGTTGCTTGGTACAGAGCATTTTTCTTATCCATGGGGCAAAGAAAATAGATATGGTAGGATGAAAAATTTTATTTTAAAGTAAAATTATACTGATTTTGGATCACTTAACATGCCTGATCCTTCTGGGGCTATGGTTGCCCAACTAGACAAGAGGGGCCAGAATGTAAACCTAGGTTTTAAGACACTAAGTCCAATGTTCTTGCCAACCTACTAGTAACCTATTCTAAGATCCTTGTGGGAAAGAGAGTAGAGTCCTAAAACCTTCTTCTCCTTCCAAGTAGTTCTGGAAACCTCTAGAGAAAATGCAACTGTCTTTGTTGACCTTGCTGGGGATCACACCATGCCAGGTAGGAGGAGATGAGGTATTTCAGGCCCTGCTTCTATCAGTTGACATTGACAATGGCACCCCTCCCTGTCTTCCCGAGACTGTCACAGGTTTTGAGGTGCCAGTCGACCATACCTCATTCATCTCCTTTTAGGTACTACTTCCCATGCCAGCGCTGGCTGGCAGTCGATGAGGACGATGGGCAGCTCTCCAGGGAGCTGATCCCAGTGGATGAGTCATATATCCTGAAGGACGAAGAGAATGAAGAGGAAGAGGGCGAGGAAGGAGGAGGAGAAGGAACTGAAGACACTGGGCTTGCCAACCTGGCCCTGGATATGAAAGGTTCCCCTTGACCTAGTACTGATTCATTCCTTCCTATCAACAGTTGAGACTCCTAAAGTCTTCAGGCTGTGTCCCCTCCACATTCTGCTTCTCACCACCATGATTCAATCTTACCCCTCATTCTTCACTCTACATAAACCCTCTGTTCCTATTGGGCCTGCCTGGTATCCTCGCTGGGCTGCATGTGCCATGCTCATTCCTGCCTCCATATCCACGCCTCCTACCTGGATTGCCCAATGTTGCCTGTCCTTTAAAATCTGGCTTAAGTTGCCACCTGAAACCTTCGCTAAAACTCTAGCCTGTGTTGGATTTTCTCCCTTCTGACTGCCCACAGAATTTATTACTTAGGCTATATATTTGGCATTTAATCATATACTATCCTGCTTTGGTCTCTAATTATTTCAATTCCATTACATTCAATGTACATTTATTAAGTGCTTACTATGTGCAAGGCACTCTTCTATCAATTAGTCAGCAAATACTTGTTAATGCCTACTCTGCATCGGCACTGGCAAAGCAAGGGAGGGACAAGTATAAAGAATGAAATAATTTGAACTCGCAAGTTTACATTCTAATGGGGGAAGAGTACAAGAACATAAATAATATGTAGCATAAATATATACATACATATATATATATATATATATATATATATATATATATATATACACACGCACACACACACAAGTAATTAAATACAAGGTAGTTTGGGAGGGAGGGTACTAGAATTAATGGGTAGGAGGGGTCACTGATCAGGAAAGACTTCACACAGAAGATGGTGTCTGAATAGCATCTTAAAAAAGAAGAGAGGGACTCTGTGAGGTGGAAATAAGGAAGGAGTGCATTCTAAAACTCGGGAACAGTTAGTGCAAAGATATGAGGACAGGAGTATTGTGAATGAGGAGGGGAGAGAGAGAGAGAGAGAGAGAGAGAGAGAGAGAGAGAGAGAGAGAGAGAGAGAGAGAGAGAGAGTGAGTGAGTGAGTGTCAATTTGGTTGGATGGTGGAGTGTGGGAAGGTATGTAAGGTCCAGTAAGGCTGGAAAGATAGATTTGGGCAAAGTTGTGAAGGGCTTCAAAAGCCAATCATAGGACTTTATATTTTATTCTAGAGGCAATAGGAAGTCACTGGAGTTAGCTGAGTAGGATGTCAGATGGTTGAGATTGGTGCTTAATGAAAATTACCTTGATAGCAATGTGTGAGACTTAGAAGAGGGAGACTAGTTAAGAAGTGGTTATAGTACTCCAGATGAGACATGATGAGAACCTGAACTGAGCTTGTACTCTAGAGAGGTTGTAAAGGTAGAAAAAGCCAGATCTGGCATTGCAATGGACATGGAGGGTGAACCATTATCTTATCTCCCCAACTTGTTCTTTGATGAAACAGAAGAGGAATTGAGTTTATGGTTGGCAGTAATTCTCAGAGTTTACCTGAAGATTAAGGAAGCTTGGCTTCTCTGTACCCAGTGGCCTGGCATCATGGGAATGGCCCAGGGCTTAAGGATATCCTAACTCCAGATAGGGGACAGTGCCCTAGTCATCTCCAGATGTGACACCACCAGTCTCACAGAAGTATTTATTGGGTGTTCACTGTGTGATCCCAGAAAGAATGGAGGGACCTGGTTCCTGCCTTCAAGAAGTTTTCAAGCTAATGGAGAAAGAAAAGACCAGCACATGTAACAAATACATAGAAACAGGACAAAAGGAATAAATGAAAGTGTCCATAGCTAGTCGAGAGGCAGTATGATGATGCAAGTAGAGGATAGGTCTTGGAATCAGGAAGATCTGGGTTCAAGTTCCTGCCTATAACATGTTACTGCTTATATGACCATATACAAGGCATTTAACCTTTTAGTGCCCTAAGGCAATTCCCTAAGATTTTTAAGTTACAGAAGTGTTGGCCTGCATTAGTGGAGGGAGTTTCCATACCAGGAGTTCCTTATATCAGTGCAACTCTACTTTCCCATTCCCCAACTAAAAAAAAACAGAGCTAATTATAGGGGTTCGGAGATAGAATGCTTAGGGTTTTCAGGAAGGATTGGAGTGGCTAATCTGGGGGAGGGGTGCAACAAGGAAAGCTTTCTGGAAGAAGTGAGATAAAACTGAATTTTGCTTCTAGGAAAGGTCACAGTTTATCAGAAAGGAGGGAGAGAAATTCTACAGGTTGGCAGACAAAGTGGGACTATCCATAGAGACCACTGGGACGTTTGCCCAGTGACCCATGGAACGGACCTGATTTCTCTGGTGGCAGCTGGTAGCTGAACTATAAACACAGCCCATCTCCTTAACTTATCCCTTAACCTTCCCCATGACCCCCTATGAGGTCATGCAGAATATCATCAGTTTCTGGGAGCACCACCCTGGAAGCTCTTCCTAGTGGCCATGGAATCATGGAAATTTCCCTGGCCTGTGGACCTGAGGTTACCTGACTGTGTCAGTGACCCATGGGCCACAATCTAGACCTCTCCTTTTCTCCCACCATGCCTAAGGCTGAGAACAGCTCACACTGCTCACACCTCCACACCCCTCACCCGGCAGATAAATCAACCATGTATTCAGTGACCGTGAAGACTGGAGACAAGAAGCGAGCAGGCACAGATGCCAACGTCTTCATTACCCTTTTTGGCACAGATGATGATACAGGTAAAAACCCGGGCGTGGCAGTGAGACTTGGTTCATTTAAATAATATATCCTTAGCATCTGGATTGAGTTGTAAGACCTATCTATAGCTACCTCCATAAGCTATAAGGGACCATATTGAGGGTCCGCTAGCCCATCCCTCTGCCTTCAGGCAAGACTGCATTCAAACCATCTCCTCAAAGAAGGGTGCCTCCTTTTTGGTAAAGACTCTATGACATTCCCTTGTTTAAACAGTCTTGTGTTTTCCAATGTCAATAACTAGTATGTAGTCCTAGTCTACATCTACACTTTTGGAACTTAGAAAAGAAAAGCTCATAAACCCATTCCAAATTCCACATAGGCCAGTAATGCATAAAACAATAGGGTTTTTTTAATGGCCTATTTTAACTCATACAAGAGGCAGTTCACTGCCTAAATGGAGGTAGGAACCCAGGGGATGACAGGTTGGGGCCACAAGGTGAAGACAACAATTGGTGAGGTTTCTAGAGCCTCAAGGGTGGGAAGGGGGCTCTGGACACATCAGGAGGTGGAATGAGGGATTAGTGATGGCTTCAGTTGGGCCATCCCCATACCTGGCACCCTCTGCTACACCAGGCTTGTTGGTGATCACTCCTTCTGGTCAACACAGGGAAGCCTAGGTCTCATTTGCCTCCCTAGCTCATGGAGGCAGCCAAGTAGTGGAGGGTTTTATGGTTCTCACTCAGACCTTTCTGATTGATTTCCCATCTTTGAAGTCTGAGTCAGAGAGAACTAGGTATTGACTGGAGGAGGTCCTGATGAATCAAAAAGGAAAAGCAATTTGGGGGCATGATTTCTGTGGTAAATTTATAGAAAATGACAGAGTGGGCAGAACCTTGGGAGGAGGTTGTCAAGCAGGAAGGACAGACATTCCCAATGTCCAGAAAAAAGATAGATCAGAGCAAGTGAGTCTGATGGGTCCCAGAAAGGTCCATAGGCATGAGTTTTTTGGGGGCTATCACAGAAATTCTATACCATATCTGACCTAAATCCATCTTCCTCCATTCTAGTTTCTTAAGCCTTTTTTAGCCCCCTATTCTCAGTCCTTCTTATATGGTAACTCTTGATGGACTTGAAAATTATTAAATGAAAGCTCTTTTCCCTCAGCCTTCATTCCCTCAGGATAAATGTCTCTAGATCTGTTAATAGGTCTTTCTACTCGGGCCCCTTCTCAAATTTCACATTGCTTCCTTTGATTTCCCTGTGGCCATCACTGGGTTTGCATTTCAAAATCTGAATGACAGGGGTCCTGGACCCCAAACATGAGGGTTGCTGCTTGCTGTACTTTCCATCAGCTTCTGTTATTCCTCTCCTGACATTGAAGACTATTGAGAGGTAGGGGAGACTGTGATTTTGCAAATGTTAAACAGATATGACCAATAACTCCCAAGAGCAGCAGGCAGTGTGCTAGACAGAAGGTGCCAGCATCACTGGGCAGTGCCAAGGAACCTGAAGACAACTTGGAGCCTTCCTTCAGATTCTCTTCTCAGGTTTTTAGCCAGCCAGCTAGCAACTTGCCTCTTTAATCAGTCAGTCAGTTGCCCAGTGGTATAGTTAGTTAACCAGCCTGCTAACCTTCTGAGTATTCAGTAGAAACCCAGTTTCTTACAAGGTGTCTACATTTAATAAGGAAAATGAAACAAGGGAAGTGAGTGAGCTGGAGCCTGGGTTGGCAGATTGGAGAATAGGGTGTATTAATCCCAAAAGAATTCCTATAGGAAATAGGCCAGAGATATGATTCAAGGGAGATGAAGGAGAAGACCAGGAGGACTTGGAAGGAGTGTGTATTTGTATTACAAAGAAGGACAGGGCAGCAACTCATAAACCCTTTCCAAATTCCAGAGTGACATCAAGATCACCATCAGACTCATAGGACTTTATACCTGAACCAAAAGCCAAGGTGGGGTGTCTAGAGGGCACGACTCCTGGTGTGCCCTTTCTCTCCTCCTGTACCCCTGGAAGAGTCCTGCAAGAACTCCCCCTGTCCTACAGGCATACCTCTTTCTGCCAGGGGAGTGTTAAAGGGTACCTGCCTCACCCTCTTTCTTTTCCAAACTCCCCATGGCTGTGAGGAGAGAACGGGAAGGCTGGGCTGTTCTCAGGCTGGAGTGATGAAGTAGCTTTAGAGGATCTTGCATGTGGTTAGTCATGTGGGGGCTACTGCATTGGCAGGGACGATTCTCTTGAAGTCTTCCAAGTCCAGCAACAAGGACAAGTTTGAGAGAGGGAGCATTGAAATCTTCACTGTGGATGCATTTTACCTTGGAGAGCTTCAGAAAATCAGGATTGGTCATGACAATACAGGTGAGTCTTGGGGTTTTTTTTGTCCCTCGTTTCTTTCTAAGAACATAAAATCCCCAGAAATATCACCCTAGGTCAGCCCCTGCTATCTGTGGTTCAGGCTTATTTCCAGAAAGCAGTACCAAGAGACATGTTGTCTGGTGACCTGCCCTAAACATCCCTCCCTGTTCCCAATAAACAATGAGAGATCTATCATCTAAACTCAGTTTGAATCCATTAATATTTGGAACCTTTAATCCTCCCACATGGCCATTATTCAAGGTAGGGCCGGCCCTTACCACATGTAATAGCCTCCTAATTATTCTCTCTGCTTCCATTTTCTTCCCTCTCCAACCCATCTTCCATACAGCTGCCAAATTGATATTCCTGAAGCACAGGTATGACCACATCACTCCCTTCTTAAGAGGCTTTAGTGGCTCCCTATTATTCCTAGAAAATACCAACTCTTCTGGAATTTAAAGTCCTTCATAATTTCATTCCAACCTGGTTTTCTAAAGCAATTTCATATTATTCTGCTTCACTCACTTTATGTTCAAGACAACTTGACCTATTGCCCACGACATTCAGTCCCTGACTCTATGCCTTTGACTTGTCCCCCGATGCCTAGAAGGGTCTCCTCCCCACCCCTGCCTGTTGGGTTCCTTAGCTCCATTCAAGGCTTAGCCCAGATACTACCTCAACCTAAGCTTTCCTGTTCCTCTCAATTATTATTCTCCCACCCCAAAATTAACTTGCATATGCTTTATATTTACTTAACTCTCTATATGTCATCTTCCCCCTGTCCAAGTAGAATGTAAGATCCTTGAGGGTAGGCAGTTTCATTTTTGTTTTCATATCCCCAGCACCTAGCACCTAGCCTGGGATATAGTATGGTTGGATAGAATTTTACCATCTCTTGGTAAAGTCTTTTTAAGTCCACTATTTATAGTGGCCTTTCCTTTGGTTTACTCATGTCCCCTTGGGGGCACACAAGTCCTAGTGTTCCTGAATTTACAGAATAAGGTTATGTCCTCCTCCCTGTCTTATTTGTCCCTGTCCCTCCAACCTTCCCCACTTCCACCCTCATTTCCCCATTTTCTTTTTCATCTCTTCCTCTGCGTTCTCAGCGCCGACTCAACACAGGCCCTGCTGAGGAAAGAAAGACAGCTTTGCACATACACAGAAATGGACCAAATTACACCTGCTTTCCTGTTACCATTTTCCTTCTTTCATGATAGCAATTAATTGTGTTAGCAAAAGAATCCTATTCCTCCTCTCCTCCATCTCCTCATCCAGGACTCCAGCTACCCATCTTATAGTAATTTCCCTGTTTTCAGAACTGGCCCTGGGAGGAATCACAAAGTCTGTGGGGGTTGTTTTTGGTGTGCCTTTAGCCTTCCCATTCTGAAAGGTCCCTCCCTTACGTTGTAGCTCTATCCTTTCCTTTCCTTGGATTTCACCATTAGCCTCATACTCTGTCTCCCTTTCTCCTATCAGGACTAGCTCTCACATCCTTCATTCACACCAGGAAGTGTATGACAGAACAGCTTATAATGCAATCCCTCTCAAGAGTGTGTGTATTTTTAAGTAGAATCAAGGCCAAAGGGATAAGACACTAATGGTGGAATTTCAGGCATTATCTAGTAGCTAGAGGAAGATTTGTGTGCCTGGGCAGCAGGACCTTTTCTATGGTCCTGAAATCTCGCCAGGTATGCAGAAAAAAAAAACAACTTCAAATACTTCTCTGTCTACTTATTAGGCCAGATGTGTATTTTTCCCTAGGCAAGTCCCCAGGCTGGTTTGTGGACTGGGTAGAGGTAGATATGCCATCTCTAGGAAAGTGCCTGACGTATCCTTGTGGGCGATGGCTAGGAAGAGAGGAGGATGATGGGGCCATCTACCGGGATCTCTTCCATGCAGAGCTACAGACCAAAACATACACTCCATGTAAGTATCTCCTTATGTCCTTCATGTCTCACCTCGAATGCTGCCTGACTCTTTCCACTAGGTACACTGTGGAATGGGCCCACCCAGCTGGCTTTGGGCCTTTCATTCCTTTCCCGAAGGATCTGGTGTCTGTATGGCCTGGCAGTATGATAAAGGCACTTGAATAAGGGTCATAAAATCTGGGTCCTAATCTCACCTCTGCTACAAATTGGCTGTGTGACTGTGGCCAAGTCACCTATTCTGATCTATTTCCACATTTGTCAAAGGCAGATCATAATACCTATCCTTGATCCCTCACAGGACTGTTGTAAACATCAAAGAAGTCGATCTAAATAAAAGCACTCTGGGAATGCTAACACTGTTAAAATATAAGGACAGATAGGTGGTGCAGTATATGGAGCACAGGACCTGGAGGCAGGCAGACTCCTCTTCCAATATACTCTCAGACACCTAATAGCTGTGTGACCCTGGGCAAGTCACTTGACCCTGTTTGTCTCAGTTTTCTCATCTGTAAAACGAACTGGAGAAAGAAATGGAAAACCACTCCAGTATATTTGCCAAGAAAACCCCACGTGGGGTCACAAAGAGTTGGACATGACTGAAAAGTGACTCACCCACCAATTTTCATTTCACTCATTAATGCTACTGTACATATAATTGCTTGCCTACTCATCCAGAATAAGAATTTCTCCTGGTTCTTGGGGTGAGGAAGAGATTGGAAAAGATTCATAGAATCACAGGCCTTCAGTGTTAGAGAAGACCTCAGAAGGCAGCTAGTCTAATCTGTATCTGAGCAAGAACCACTCTCTATACCGTATTTGACAAATGGTCATCTAGCTTATCTCTTTTGAAGGCTACCAGTGAGGGGGAGCCCACTAGCTTGTCAGCAGTGTCAGCAACCATTTAGTAAGTACCTACTGTGTGACAGGAACTGTGGTAAATGCTGAGCTTATAAAGAAAGGCAAAAACAAAAAACAAACAAAAAAACAACACAGGTCTCTGCCCTAAAAGAGCTCACCTTCTAATGAGGAAGGCAATCTCAGTGGAAAGGAGCTAAGGGGAGTGGGGTGGGGAGGGGAGGAGGGACTGGGAAAGGCTTGAAGAATTTAAGCTGATTCTTGAAGAATTTCTGGGGAAATGCTATACAGAGGTGAAGAGGGTGAGTATTCCAGGCACTGGGGATACCTGAGCAGAAAGAAACAGTTGGGAGATGGAGCGTCCCGTGATTTATGGCAAGTAGACAGGTGTTGCTGAATCATAAAGCATATAGAGGGGACTCAAGTGTAAGAAAACTAGAAAGACAGGAAAAGACAAGGTTATAAAGGGTTTTAAGTGCCAAGAAGACATGTTTTCCACTTGAACCTGGAGGCAATAGGGAGTTTCTTGAGTAGAGAGATGACATGGTCACTGTTGTGCTTTGGGAAGGTCACTGTGGCAGCTGAATGGAGTCTGGACTTGAGGGAGAGAGATTGGAGCCAAGAAGACCAGGAAGAAGGTCAATGCAGAAGGTCAGGGATAAGGCAGTGCGGACCACAATGGTGGCTGTGTGAATGGGGAGGAGGGGATGTATGTGAGGGATGTGGTGAAGTTTGAGATGGCATCAGATATGTGGAGTGACCGAGAGGGGAGTCAAGGCTGACTGCGGCTTCTGGAAGCATCTGTTCCACTTAGGAAGGCTCTCATTGTTAGGAAAACCTTACCAACCTAACCAAGGGTTAGGTTAGACCCTGGGCAAGTCACTTAACCCTGATTGCCTCCCAAAAAAACCCTAAATAAAACAAAAATAGTTGAAGACAACTATCATTCTCCTTAAGTTTTCTCTCTCTTTTTTTCCAAGCAAAACACCCTCTGTTCCTTCAACTGGTTCTTATACAGTGTGAACACACCCTGGGTTATCAGTGTCCTTTCTTAAGATGTGGTGCTGGGGAGGTGGTCTGACCAGGGCAAGGGTAGAGGATGTATACTCCATTCATTTGTTTGACCTAGGGAAGTATAGGGTGGGGAGCCGTTGGTCTGGAAAAGCTTTGGCATTTTCTCCCTTTGGTCAGGAAATATTAAGTGTCTGTTTGCAAGGCATATAAGAATCATATGATAATTTGGCAAACTAAACCAAACCAAAACAGGATTGTATTCTAGGAGGAGAAACCTGATCCAGTGGATAGAGTACAGGACTTATAATTAGAGGATCTGGGTTCAAATTCTGGCTCTTCTACTTCCTACCCATGTGACCTTCTAGAAATCATTTAACCTCTCTGGGCCTCAGTTTCCTTTTCTATAAAATGAGGTGGATTGGACTCAATGACTTCTAAGGTCCCTTCCAATTCTAAATCTACATTTCTAAGTTAATTGTTACTATTTTTTAATGGTGCCAGAGGTTCATCTCCTCTTCCTAACAATACCTAATTATCCACGTCTGAATTGGAAATTTCCTCTCTGAGAATGATGACTTTTTATGTTATTTTGTCAGATAAAGGATCAGGGCTCCATAGAGCTCCTGGGGGACACAAGGAGAAAAGAAAGGGGTTCTAGTCCATCCCCAAACTTCAGAAGGGATCCTTATTAAGTACGACAGAGCCCGAGGCTCTAGATTTTTCTTGGTAACTTCCCTGTGACTCTATTCCTCTCAATCCAGGCAGCATATTCTAAGTATTAGGCACAGAGATGAGGTTCCCAAACTCTACTCCTCTTAAGTTCCCAGATCAAGTGCTGAAGGGGTTGGAATAGGTAACCTATAAGGTCCTTTCTAATGCTACGGGTTTATGATTCTCCTTATAATTTTTTTTTTTTGGCAAGGCAATTGGGGTTAAGTGACTTGCCCAAGGTCACACAAGCTAGCGAGTATCATGTGCCTGTGGCCAAATTTGAACTCAGGTCCTCCTGACTGTAAGGCCCGTGCTTTATCCACTGTGCCATTTAGCTGCCCCATAAATTTTTTAAAATACTGAAATGGAACAATGCAGGAATATAAAATTATTTTCTAGACCAAACCTAAACCTAGAATAATTTCAATCTGTTCAATGTCCTGTCTGGGTCCCAAATAGAGAAAACTAAGGTAATTCAGGCCCTGAATACTGGGACTCGTGATGTAAGACAGAGCAGTTGACACAGACAAATGTGTAAAAGCCCTGGCGAGAACAGAAGAGAAAGGACAGACACACTGATTGTAGCCTTTGAGAGTGGGAAAATCAGTTTGCTTGTCAAGGGCCAAGGGAATGGGTAGGGCAGAAACAGAAAGGGAGAAGGAAATTTTGTGACTCTCAGAGGTAACCCTTAGAATGCTTGTTTCATTGATCTGCTTCTGACTTTCTCCCTTAGGAGAGTCCACACTTCATAAAACAGGAGTTTTTACTGTCTGTACTTTAAGATTGTTGCTTCTGGTCTGGTATTAAAAAAAATATCCATTTACCCTTCTTTCTTCTTAACACGTCTGCCAAACCAGGCACAAGAAAGACTCAGTTTTTCAAGGCCCAGGAGCTAGGGAGCTGCTTCAACTTCCAAGGCAGAAGACAGGGAATGAGGTGTCTCTGTCTCTGTCTCTATCTCACTCTCTGTCTCTGTCTCTCTCTGTTTTTCTGTCTCACTCTCTGTCTCTGTCCCTCTCTGTTTCTCTGACTTTGTTTCTGTCTCACTCTCTATCTCTGTCTCTGTTTCTCTGTCTCTCTCTGTCTCTCTCTCTCTCTGTATCTGCCTCTGTCACCCTCTGTTTCTGTCTCTCTCTGTCTCCATCTCTCTGTCTCTCAAACTTTTTGGTCTTATGACTACTTTACACTCTTAAAAATTATTGAGGACCATCCCAAAGAGCTTTTGTTCATGTAGATGATATCTATCGCTATTACCCTATAGAAACTAAAACATCTTGATATCATTATGAAAATGGTTTTGATCTTGCTGAACCCCTGAACAGGTCTAAGGGACCCTCAAGGCACCCCACGTTATACTTTGAGAACCACCACTCTATACTCCAGCCTTTTTAAAATTCCCAGTATTTAACTGGGAGAGATCTACCTCAAAATCAGGAGTTATTCACAATTCAGATTCATAGGCAGGTTAGTGGAGGGCTCTTTTCCAGGCTAGCACCTCCAGTATTTATGTGTTTTTATTTATTAACTGTATAATGTGCTATTATGCAAATATATTAGGCATATTATAAAAGATTTAGAAAAATAGAAATTAATAAAGGATGAGATAAATGTGAAATAAACAGTATTTTCAAATTTTATATTGAACAGCACAAATAAGCCTTTTTGTTTTTTAGAACAATGTGATTTATTAACTTTTTTTTAAAAAATCCTTATATATGTTCTAGGGTATAAATAAAATGTTAGTAATTAACTTTTCAATCCATTTCATCAACATAAGTAGCCAAACAGGGGGATTCCTTATTTTAAAGGTACTTTAAAGTTACATGATAATTTTATTATATATTAAAATTATTATATATTTTATATAATTATATATTATAAGAATTATTATATAATTAAAAGAATAGCAAGTTGTACAAAAATAGATTTGCAATTTCATGTACAATCATCTTTTTTCTATTCTATGTTATGGAAATTATCTATTTCTTAAGTTCAGAATAAAGTAAATAAAACTCAAAAAATAAAAATAAAGATGCATAATACAATAATCAAAAAACAGGTCATCCCCATCAGTGAAGATAAGATCTTTTCAGCACAATCCATGTTTCTTAGCATGTATTTATTCATCATACACAATGCAAAAACATCAAGAAAATGTGCATTGTCATTGGTTTCAACCCAGAGAAAGTTTTCAATATAAATCCATGCCTCTCGCTTTATGCGGCTGGGCCTAATAGATGGTATCGTATCTTAATTTCCTATTCATGTTTGGATATTTTAGTTGTGTTTTGATATGAGTTTGAGGAGCAGCAAAAAAGCCAGTTTGACTGGCTATAGAGTGCATGAAGGGGAGAAATGTATAATGAGTTAGGAAAGGTAGTTTGGGGCCAGGTGGCACATGGCCTTAAATGACAGAGGAGTTTATATTTGATCTTAGAGACAATAGGGCGCCATTAAAGTATATTGAATTGGGAAAGGCAAGGGGTGGTGGTGTGTAACAGGCAGGCCTCTATTTCAGGAATATCGTTCTGGTGGTTTTGTGGGGGTGGGTTGAAGGGGGTAAGAACTTTGAGGCAAGGAGAATAATTAGGAGGCCATTTCAATAGGCCAGGAAAGAGATGAGGAGGGCCTGTGCCAGGGCTGCAGCTTTGCGAGCAGAGAGAAAGGGATGTCTAGGAAGGATGTCGTGAGGGTAAAAGCAAGAACATTTGGCAATGGATGAGCTAAATGAGGTGAAATATGAGTGAAGAGTTGAGGTGGTGAATTTCGATGACTGGAAAGATAATGGTGTCTTTGACAGGAATAGGAAAGTTTGGAAGAGGAGTAAGTTTTGGGGGAAATAGAATGTAATGAGATATGAAGTGGAGAAGGTAAACCATCCACACCTGCTTGTCCTGTGCACCTCACTTTGCCCCAAAGGGTGGGATTTGTGCTCACTGATTGTCATCCTGAAGAACTATGCCTGCCACAACTATGAGGTGATTGGAGGACAGCAGATGCCTATGCTTGAGGGAAGAATTGCCCAATGACAGTTGCATAACTGCTCCTGTGGGTCGTGGTGGGGGAGGGCAGAGTCAGGAGAGCTCTGCTGGTGCAGGTACTGCAAGCGAAGGGCAGAGATGCTTGTCTTAGAAACAAGCGGCACCACTGGCTATCTTTGGGGAACGTGGTATGTGACCCACCTCTCCTCCCTCTGTTTGACTGATCACATAATTCTAGTGGATACGCCATGCTCCCTCGGGAGCCATGCCTCCTTCCTTCTAGAGACCACAGCCCCTGTTTTGGAGACAACTCATCTAAGCTCAATGCCAGGCATTCAATTCAACAACAACAATAATAGTGACATTATTATTAGTATTCACGTTTCTCTATCACTTTAAAGTTTATAAAGTAATTTCCTCACAGCTACCCAGTAAGACAAACAGGGCCAATGTCATTATCCCTACTTTATAGATGAGTAAATTGAGAATCAAAAAGGTTCAGAGATTTTGCCCAGGATCACACAGAAAGCAGCAGTTCAGACCTCTGGCTTCTGACTCCAAATCCAGTTCTCTTTCTACAATCCACACTTAAATGAATTAATGGGTTTTGGAGTACATCCTGTGTGTCTGGCACTAAACTAGGCTCAATGAAGGAGCCCTTGTAAAACTTTCCCTTTCTCTGTATGAATGTGTGTGTGTGTGTGTGGGGGGGTGTATATACACACATATACACATATTGCATGTATTTTTCAGGGACTGGCAAGACTAACACAAACTAAAGTTTAGAAAAAAAATTCAGAACAATGTCCGCCCAAAGGGCTCTGGACTAAGAGTCAGATGACCTAAGTTCTGCTCTCAGCTCTGCCACTCTCTTCCTGGGCAAGTGTATCAATCGATCAACATTTATGAAACACCTACTGTGTACCAGGTGCTGTGCTAATTACAAGTGTAGTAGAAAGGATACCGACTTGAGTATCAGAAGACCTGGGGTCAGATCCTGCCTCTGACACTTAGGACCTGCATGACTTGAGCAATCGCTTATCCTTGGTGGGGAGGGAGGCTCATCTGTAAAATGAGGGGGACGACTAGATGGCCTCTGAGGTCCCATCCAACTGTAAAGCTATGATCCTATGATACTGAGCCACAAGAACTTCTCTCATTAGCACATTGCCATAGATAATTTCTCCCCTATTTGTCACCTTGAAAGGCACAGAAAGAAGATAAGATATCGGACAGGAAAGTTGGGAATCAGACATCGCAAGAGTCAAACTGATGGTTAGCACAAGTCAGTTTGTTTTCCAGTCATGTCTGACTTTCTGTGACCCCCATTTAAGGTTTTCTTGGCAAAGATACTGGAGTAATTTTGCCGGTGATTCCTTCTCCAGCTTATTTTACAGATGAGGAAACTGAGGCAAACAAGGGTAAGTGACTTGACGGTGGTCACACAGCTAGGGTCTCAGGCCAGTTTTGAACTCAGGTCTTTCTGACTCCAAGCCTGGCACTCTATTCACTATACTACCTAGCTGCACAATCCCTGAATGACAGGGCTCCCAAAGGGCCCAAAAGGGGTTGGACTAGGAAGGACAACTGAGGACAAGCTCCATCTATTTTACACATATTTCCTCAGGCCCAAGCCTAACATGGGATTCTTCACCTTTAAATCCCTTTCTAGTCTTTCACCCTCCTGACTACCTTCTCACCCTAGCTCTCTGACCTCTACTCTTTAGATATTCCCTATGAGATAACCATCTATACCAGTGATGTCTTTGCTGCGGGGACGGATGCCAGCATCTTCATCGTGATCTACGGCTGTGACGCCATCTGCACCCAACAGAAGTACCTGTGCACTAGCAAGAGGGAGCAGAAGGCTTTTTTTGAGAGAAATTCTGTCTCCTGCTTCATTGTGGAGGTAGACTTGGGGTGTGGGTGTGGGCATGGTTCAGAAGAAAGTGAGAAACAGATAGGTGTGGATATCTGCACGGTGAAATGGAAAGCACTAGACTAGGCTCAGGAGACCTTAGTTCTAACTCTGGTTCCACCACTGACTAGCTGTGTGTTAGGACATGGGGTCTTTTAGGTCAGCAGTGGGGAAGAGTTGCTAGGCAGCTGGGCAATGCAATGGATAGAATGCTGTGCCCAGAATTAGGAAGACGAGTTCAGATTGGCCTCAGATACATACTAGCTGTGTGACCTGGGCCAAATCATTTCACCTTTTCTTGCTTCAGTTTCCTCAGCTGTGAAATGGGGATAATAACAGCAGCATCTACCTGGCAGTGTCGTTGTAAAGATGAATGAGATATTTGTAAAGCATTCAGTACAGTGCCCAGCACACAACAGACCCTATATAAATGTCTGTTTCCTTCCTTCCTTCCTTCCTTCCTTCCTTCCTTCCTTCCTTCCTTCCTTCCTTCCTTCCTTCCTTCCTTCCTTCCTTCCTTCCTTCCTTCCTTCGTTCCTCCCTCTGTTCTTCCCTTCCTTCCTTCCTCTCTTCCTTCCTCCTTTCCTTCCTTTCTTCCTTCCTTCCTTCCTTCCTTCCTTCCTTCCTTCCTTCCTTGCAAAGATTTTTACATTGTTCTTAAGGATGCAGTGACATCTGGGGTAGGAATGACAGTCCTGAGAAAATATTTAGGGCTTCTAGGAAGCAGGAACACTCTGGGCGTATGGCCCAGGGTGAATGATGAGCATGAAGCTGATGTGGGGAGAGAAGAGTTGTTTAGAATGTTGTGTGATGGTCCATTTTTACCTCAGTGGATGGTCTGGAGTAGTGAAGTTACTTAGTGTGAAATGTAAGAGGAGTGTTCAGTGGGGAGTGATCAGCTGAATCTCCTTCACTACTCCTCGCTCAGGCTAACCAGCCTCTTTGCTTGTACCTTTAAGCCTATTCCTCAAGGTGGTCAGATCAGCAGGATTTAACAACACATTGGCTAGGGGGGAGAATGAAAGAGAGGGAGGAACAAAGTGGGACTCCCCAAACCAATCAGTTGCTAAGTTCTGTTGACTCTAACTCTACAGCTTCTCTCACATCTGCCTTCTTCCAACTCATCACTTACTGCCTCAGTTAGTTTAATGGTCTCCTTCTGGGGCTGTCTTTCCATCAGTGCTTCATGCTGCTGCCAAGTTAATCTTCCTAAGGCACAATTCTGAACTTGTCCCATTTGCCTTTGTAAGCCACACAGAGTAGTACTTGGCATGCAGCAAGTGCTTAATAAATACTCATTGATTGATTGACTCACTGAATGAATAGTAATTTTGGTATGTTTTGGTATCCATCTGGGTTGAGCCTCCTGGACCTTCATTTCCCTATGATATCAGATCCAGTTCATTACTGCTTCTCAGAATGGTATTAGCCAAACTTGAACCAGATTTTTGTTCCTGAGGTGTGGTGTTTAGCAGTACATGTGACCACTTTATATCTCAGGTAAGTTCTGTTTTCAGGAAAATGAGATTCATGATCCTGCTCTGTTTGCTTTACAAGATTATTGTGAGAACCATGTTGGGGTGTTGTCTTGGTGATCTTAAAAGAAAAACATGGAGCTCTGGACAAATGCTCTATGGTAGTAATATCATAAGGATTACAGGAGAGCCCTATATTCTCTCCCAGTGCTAAGATCCTATGAAGTTCACAAATCTCCCAGGAGCAGAACAAGGTTTCTGCTCATAAGGAATGAGTGTGTGTGTCTGACCCTCCTTGTAATGCTTTCAGGAGGGCTGTCTCTCATGGAAAGATCATCTGTCTTAGGACCTGGCCTCCAATCACCACATATCTCATCCTTTGTGAGGGAAGAGACCCCATTGTTAGCTTGGTGAAAGAAGATTATTCTCTGCAGTAATTTTAAAGATAGCTCTTTCTGTGAATTCTAGAAGTTTTTTTAAATATTAATTTATTTTTAATTTTCAATATTCACTTCCATATGATTTTGAGTTCCCCTTCCCCCACCCCAGACATCATGTAATCTACATATACATTCCTATTAAACATATTTTCACGTTAATCATGTTGTAAAGAAGAATTAAAACCAATAGGAGGAACAGTGAGAAAGAAGAAACAACCAAAAGAAGAGAGCAAATAGTATATTTCGACTTGCATTCAGATTCCACTTTCCATCATGAGTCTTTCGGAGTTGTCTTAGATCCTTGCATTGATGAAAAGACCTAAGTCTATCAAAGTTAGCCATCGCACAATGTGGCTGTTACTGTGTACAATGTTCTCCTCATTCTGCTCACTTCACTCAGCATCAGTTCATGTAAGTCTTTCCAGGTTTTCCTGAAGTCTGCCTGCTCATCATTTCTTTTTTTTTTTTAAGGCAATTGGTATTAAGTGACTTGCCCAGGGTCACACAGCTAGTAAGTGTCAAGTGTTTGGTCTGAGGCCGGATTTGAACTCAGGTCCCCCTGACTTCAGGGTTGCTGCTCTATCCTCTGTGCCACCTAGCTGCCCCCTCAATCATTTCTTATAGCACAATATTGCATTCACATACCACAACTTGTTCAGCCATTCTCCAATTGATGGGCATCCTGTCAATTTCCAATTCTTGGCCACCACAAAAAGAGCTGCTATAAATATTTTTGAACATGTGGGTCCTTTTCTCATTTTTAGAATTCTAGAAGTTTTAAAAGTAGAAACCTTGACCAATCTGTTCTATCCATTCCAATTCCTACATTTGGTAGCGAAGACCTTTCCAAATGACTGACTATTTGGTAAACCAGCATCTCTCCTAGGAAAAAGAAAGGAGAAAACATGTATTAGATCTGTATGTCTGAATGAAATGTATAAACAAACATTCTGCATAGTGGACTGAGGCCTCAGGAGTGCTGGAAATAGGAGAGGAGCTGCAGCCCTCCACGTCTGCACAGAGCAGGGTGGTGGTGCAACAGCTCCAAAGATGGCTTCCCAGCTTTCCCCTTTGGTGCAGTGAGTTAGAAATGCTCCCGTGCTCCTTAGGAGTTCCGGGATGGTAATTGGTAGGGAAGCCAGGTGTGATCTACCACCTCTGCTTCCTGGCTTGTACTTTGGGATCTTTGAACCTGGAAACTGGGTTGATGAGGGGGTGAGGAATGAAAGAAGGAGAAAGGGAAGTAGGGAGAAAATCTGACTCATCTCATTGCTAATTTTGGGCCTGTTCTCCTAGAGATAGGCCTTGGCCGAGTTTCTGAGAAAATTCCCCTGCAAAAATTCCCCAGGTGGTGGTCATGAACTCATACCAAGAACAAAGATGCCAATGTTTCTCATGTTCTGAATTTCTAATTTAACTCTGAACTTTCCTGTGCTGGTCTCCAGACGCTAAATCACTCTCTAGGTTCAGTGACCAGGTTAACATTCACTCAGAGCATTTTGTTCAGGAGTTCTTATATTGGAGCCCTTGCACCTCTGAGATAGGACAGCAGGTAATTGCCCAGGGCTAGAATATACCCTCATACACTTGGTTTTGTGGTTCTGGTGGTTTTTTTCCCTCCCCTCACCATTTTAATTCTTTTTTTGGGGGGGTGGCAGGCAATGGGATTAAATGACTTGCCCAGGGTCACAAGCTAGTAAGTGTCACCCAGAGTTGAACTCAGGTCTTCCTGACTGCAGGGCCAGTGCTCTATCCACTGTGCCACCTAGCTGCCCCATTTTAATTCATTTTTGAATGATCTGTCAAGTTGCATCACCAGTCCTGGTAACCTATTTTCCTTTCATTTAAAAGATACATTTGTTGAGCCTCAACTAAATGCCCAACTCTGTTGGGGTATGGGAGTTATCAAAGAAAAGCAGGCCTTCCAGATTTATTGGGAAGATACGGTTCATACCTGAATCGGTTAGATGGCAATACAAAGTGAGTGCCAAGTGAGTGGAGCAGCCTATGAAAGGGCTTACACTGGGAGGAGGGAGAGAAAGCAGTGAGAGCCTGGCTAGTTTGGTCAGGGAAGACTTTGTAGAGGTGGTATGTGATTTGAACCAGGCTTTGAAGGACAGATAAACGAAGGGAAGCAAGGAAAAACAAAGGCATTCTAGGTGGGAGAATAACATAAGCAAAGAATATTGAAGAGCCCAATTGGAGTAAATTGAGGAGTTCACCCGGGCAAAACAGTTGGGAGAAAAAGTTGAAGTGTTAGAGTGAGTCCAGATTATAATGGGCTTTGAACACGAAGCTAAATTTAGACTTTATTCTGAAGGCAAAAGAAAGCTATTGTTTGTTCTTGAGCAAAGAGGGTAGTGTTATGGGAGAGGATGCATTTTCACCTGTTTTTCTGGAAAGAAAATCACAAGCCCAAGCTTCTTGCTTTCCAGCGTAGACATCTGTGCCAAAGGCTTTACTGCTTTTGCCCATCCTCCACAGAGAGTGTCCAGGTCCCCCACTCTCTGGTCAGTTGTACTGTTCTTTTTTTTTAAAATAAGAATATAGTCAAGGGTGATTGCTTTTGAGTCATCCAGGCCTGGCACCATCAGCAGGCCAAGAGGAATACTCATACTTTGGCAGATGTCCAAGGTTTTCTTCAATCGAGAACTCCATTAATACTCATCTATAATTTCCTCTGCTGGACGCTGTTGTCATGGTTTTTTTTTCCTTTCAAATTTATATAAGCCCTAGAAGAGACTGGAGCCTCAGTAAATTTTGAGGAACCCCAAAAGAAAAGGTTGTTTCTCCCGGGCATGGTTAGGCAAGCGCTGACTGGTCTCAGAATATTTATTCCTCCTCTTTTTCCAATTCCTCTTGACACATGGCCAACGGTAGTATGGTAGGAAGAGTACTAGATTGGGAATGAGGAGCCTTGGCATTTAGTACTGGCTGTACTGCTGACTAGCTGTAGGACCTCAATGAGACATGCCTCACTTTCTTCATATGAGAAATCAGAAGATTTAATTAATAGCTGCCCCTTAGCTGAACTAGATAGTCTCTAAGGACCCTTATAGCTCTGCCCTCTGAGAAT